TATTATTCAGAAACTGGCTAAATGGTTTTACAAGAGAACTGCTATTTCTCCGTAAAATATTTCCATAGTGCAGGCAGCATATGTGGATTTCAAAGCTCTGTGATTGAAAGAAAAAACATGAAAAATGAATGCGTACTTACATTTCTACTGAGAAAAACCTTCTCACGCAGAGAGGTGAGATTATATTTAAAAATAATATAAGAAAACTATACTACCAAGTGCTAATTCATTATTAACTTTTTGGATCATAAGCTAAAATATGAAACTTCAAAATGTATCATTATCTCATGTTTTGTTTCCTAATGTTGTACATAAAGATATATTCAGGTTGCTTTCACAAAGAACGATTAAAATGTTCAACCACAAAATAAAACGATGGCAAATACCTGACATTATCTAACATATTTCACAGTAATGATCTAAAGTGGACTATACTCTGATGCTTGCTGTACTTGTTGTTCAGTAACGATTCTCACTGCCGTATCCGGAGACAGCACCCCTGGCGGCACCAGCGGCGACATCAGCAGCTGCACCTCGAACTGTCTCATTTTTCATCACATCAGAAGCAAACTCTGCTTGGGCTTTCTGGAAGCTAGCACCGGTGCTGCGATAGATGCGATGCACCTTAACATAAGGAAAGGCATTTCGTTAGTATGTAAGCAAATGAATTATCTTACATAAGTATTTCCTATCTTTTGAAAAAAAAAATGATCATTATTAAAAATGCTGCACAGTGTCTTCTTCAAATACTAAATTTCGTTTATGTTTTGTTGTGAGTGACCATGTCTAGCACTGATAGTATAGGATGGGAATGAATATGCTTTGTATGAGGTGTTTTTGTGTGCTGATTGGGATTGCCTTGTGCTGTAAGAAGGGAGCTAGCTGTCCCAATACCTGGCCTGCTTTGCTGCATCAGATCTTAATTTATTCGTCCAATTTATCATCTTCAGTGAATATTGTTCCAAGACACTTAAACGCAGATGCCTGTTTAAAATATGTATACTCTAATGCTATATTTAAATTCTCCTTCTTTCTTCCTCTTGACATTACTTCTGTCTGTTTCTATATCTATTCTCACATTATCTGATTTACATTCTTCATGTTTTTGTAAATTCAATGCTGTATCTGCAATCAAGGCCTGGTCATCAGCAAAGAGTAATTCGTTGATGTTACTATTATTTTCGTTCCTGGGCTTGGTATATTTGCTTATAATGTCAATGTAGGTGATAAACAGTAGTGATGATAAGACACATCCCTGTCTTACTCCAGATGTTACTTTGGTTTGGATGTTCCCTGATTTATTCTAACTAGGCTTCTAAAATCTCCATATTAGCTTTTGCAAACTTCAATGAGGTGTTCACTTACTCCGCATCAAGCCATTACTTTCGATAATTTTTGTCTATCAATTCTTGTCTAAAAATAAGTTTTGATCATATGCGATGTTCTTTTCTATTAACTGTTTAATGTGAATACTGCATCTGTACAGCTTCTATTTCTTCTGAAACCCATTTGTTGTTCTGTCAACTGTGGTTTTACCATTGGTGGCAGCCTTGTTTCTATTATCTTAGCATACATTTTCCCAACATGACTTGAAAGAGAGATGCCTCAATATTGATTGCATTCTTGCTTGCTTCCCTTATTTTTCCACAATGGTAAAGTTATAGCATGTTGCCAGTCAATGGGAGCAGTTTGAGGTACCCATGCTGCATTAAATATTCTGTGAAGCCATCTAATGTTGCTTTCACCTGCTGCTTGGATTATTTCTGCTTTTAAGCTATCAGCTCCTGGTGCTTTATATGTGGGTGATTGCTTAATGACTACTTCAGTAATTAGTATATCAGGTTCTAGCACTGTTGCTCTGTAGTCTTTGGTTGCTCTTTCCTAGCAATCTCTTAAAGGGTACAAGTATTCTCTTCATCTCTCAGCTATCTCTGTTAATGGTTTTCCTGTTTTATCGTTAATTAGTACTGTTATGTTGTAGCTCTCATCTCTTTTTCGCTTAGTTTTGACTACTATGAAAAATATTCTGCTAATGACCCAGGATTCTTGTTTTCATTTCTTGATTCTCTGGTTGGTGTCTCTTCGTTGCAGCCTATAGTTTATGCAATCCTCTTCTCTCTTTGATTGTATCCACTGTTTATATGTCTTTTTTTCTCTTCTTAACTGCTTCTTTTACTTCTTCACACCACCAAGGGGAATATCTGTTATAATTCCGCCTGATTCCTCATTTTTTTTCCACATAATTCTTAGGCAATACTAAGCAAGGTGGTTTTATATACACTCATTCATCCTCAATATTCCCCACCACAAACGGTAGTTGTTTGAATGCTGTGTCTATTTTTGTTGTTGTAACTGTTCTTTTACTCCTTCTTGTTTCAAACTTGCTATCTTGATGAGGTAATGGTTTTTAGTTAATTTTTTCCTATTTTTCTTGAAGACGAGATAATTTTGCTGTCATCACAACTATTTTATGGCCGGAGTCACATAGACCAGTAGGGATTGTTCTTGCATCAAAAATTCTCCTTCTTCCTTTGACTCTTGTTAATATAAAGTCAATCCGGCTCTTTATGGAGGTGTCGTTCCAACTGTACGATGTATACCGTTGTGAATTTCTATGGTCGAAAAATGTATCTTTGATAGAGAGACTGTGTTGGCTGCATAGTTCCAATACTCTTTGACCATTTCTATTTCTATCACTGTTTTTAGCTGCATGTGGGCCCAGAAACTGTTTCTATTCTTTTCTGTTATTACCAACTCTCCCATTGAAGTCTTCCATTACATACAGTATGTTGTTAACTTCAACTTTCTCTGTCTCTTCAATCAGTTTGTCAAAGAATTCATGTTTTTTGCTCTTCTGTATAGTTATCATTGCACTGTGCATATATCTGTATGTACATTTCTGGTTGTTCTCCTCCGTTAATTGTCAACTTTATCATTCTGTCTGAGCAATAAATGATGTCTCTTCGATGCTATTCTTCCTGAGTATGTTTCGCATTCCTTTGGGTCTTATATCAGCTAGCCACATTAACTTGATTTTCCTTCTTTCCATTATTTAAATAATCTCTTCTGTTTTATTTCCTGTGTTGTAGCAAAACTGATCTAATGGTAAAAAACTATTTCACAATGTAAATATCAGTTTATAATTAAACATCTGTAATCATTTGATATAATAACTTAGGCATTACAACCAGAAGTGTAGTTATTGCTAGGGTACATCAAAGCAATGCCACAGTTTTTTTATGTAACCAGGTCATGCTTTAGAACTAAACAGGCTCCAGTGAATCAGGAGGTGAGGAAAAGACGCTGGCGTTGGATAGGGCACACACTGAGAAAACAGGAGAACAGCATAACTAGAATGTCTTTGCATTGGAACCCACAGGGGCACAGAAATAAAGGAAGGCCAAAAAACACATGGAGAAGAGAGCTGGAGAATGAGGTTAGAAAGATTGGGAGGACATGGGGAGAGCTCCATGCAATGGCGAAGGATAGAACGACTTGGCGTGAGTTGGTTGAGAACCTATGCTCCATTGGGGGATAGAAAGGCAGAAGAAGAGAGAAGAAGAGGTCATGCTTTACCTGACAAAATAGGTTTTTTAACTAGTCTATTCAACATTTATTTGTTATGTGCCTGCCTAATGAAAACTAAGAATTAAAAAAATAAACATGTTAACAACAACAACAGCATAGTGTATAGCTTAATTTATTTACAACTAGTATTTTATGTCATTCTGATGCAATCTATAAAAAATCCTGCAAATATTATTTTTACGACCACATCACTGATTTAACCATATAGCATAAATGCATCAGAATTCACATGCTGAAGTGAGGTACAACAAGCTATACAACAAAACTTCAGTAATTCCTACTACAACATCATTGAATAAGACAAACTCACAAAAAGTCTACAATTTAAAACTAGCATTTTACACCATCATTAAAGAAAATTATATTGCCTTTTTTCTTCTGAAAATATTGTTCTTTGCTAATAATCTTCAGTCACATAGTGCTACCATTCTCGATGGCAAACATGTACAAATTATGTACACGATGCCTTTCTTGATGGCAAAAATGTACAAATTATGTACACGATGCATCAAAAAATTATTTGCACTTCAGTCGGATTTATTCAGTGTTTTGTGCTTCATTTTATGTTGATGTAACTCTGTAGTAATGTAAATGAGGAGATAAGGCGAAATATTCCTGACAATAAACTGTGCAATGTATTGTTTGTCTGCTAAATTCATTATGAGAAAACATTGTTCTGAATACAAATTATGTCCCATAAAAACTGCTTAGCTCAAGTTTGTTGAAGACTAACTCTTTTTGCCCCAGCAGGATGATCCTTTAATATTGTTGCTATGTAAGGTGGAGTTTAAGCAATAACCATATGGGCTTTGTGGTTAATGAAGATGCAGGGATGGAGTGTGCAACAGTAAAAGAGAAACTGGGGTAGTAAGAAGCATACAGTGGGCTAATATAATAATTATGCGGACTAGGAACAAAGGTAGCCAGGGTAATATTAACATCATCCACTGAATATTGAAAGGTATTTTAAAAAATATGCGGCTGGCATCATATGTGCAATTAGGCCAAAGCTGTGCAAATGGGACCTTAAGATTTTAATTTTAACAGGAACATTCTTCAGCATCATTCTTTTGTTGAAATTTGTCTAATGAAGACAGAGCACTGGGTGTGTGGTGATGGTCACTGTTCCCTCCTGGATTGCTGCCTGCAGGATTAACACCTCAAGGGTGAGAAACAAACAGGAGCTAACCCAGAAACCTTGTTTAACCAATAGTTACATTAGACACCCTTAGGGTTAACAAAATAACCTAAAATACTAAATGGAGGTGGGATACGAACAGTGTCCTAAATACTGTGACATCATCTCTAGTTAAACTACCCCTGCCTTCTGCTAATAAAAATAAGCACTGAAAATAAATGGAGCTCTAATTAAATACCAAAAGCTGCGTAATGTTACAACTGTTATGGCCTACCTTGATCAGTAACCACATTGACACAACAGCTTCCAAGGTAAATAAAAAAGCTATCACTAGCATGATACCTCCAGCAGCTGGTTGGCTTCCCACAATACTAAGTGCATTAATCCAACCTCTGTGCAAGTAAATCGGAACAGAAACTTATTCCCATGTATGGAAACATTTGCTGATATTATTTACTTATTAACATACATTTTATAAGATTTTGTATTACATGCATTAATTTCTCATGCTGTTGTCAGCGATAAGGAATCTGATGTTGGTGTATAAAATCCACTTACTTTTGTTGATATCTCACTGTCTGCAGGTTTTTGTTTTAAATTTTACCTCCAACAAATTATACATCTGCTTCACCTATGCTTAGAGCTAGTGAGTGTTCTTCGATACGACAGATTAGTTTTCTCAACAGCGGGATCAGTTACTAAGAATTAGAATGGTTTTTCAATGTTTTGATTCATGCACTGATTATCCTGGCTACCAGAACTTGGGACTCACAATAATCTCCTCCAGTCTATTCTATTCTGTGCAGTGTTTTTGTTGTATATATTGTGTATAAATTTGAAGTTATGCATCTCTGGCCTCTTTCAACAATGTGTGTCATATGGTTTCTCTGGAATGTCCTCGCTTCCTCAATCAATATTTTCCCCTTTTTTGCAAGTTTATGTTTAAATGAGGATTGTTTTAGAGAATTTGATAATTCGCTGAGAAAAGATGGGAAGGACATGGCATGAACTGGGACACAGTTTATAAGATTAATGTTAATTATGATTTTAAAAAGCAGTTTCCGCTATTTTTAAATGCTGCCACATTTTCACTGCTTTGTTTTAAATATAAATTCAAGGAATGCTTGTCATCTCGATCAACACCATCAAACACTGCTGTCTGCTTAGAACTGATACAAATGTGAGAAATGATTTTAGTTAGTTTTTAAACGAAATGTACTTTTGTTTCAGTGTCTCTCTGCAATCACATTTTGAAGACTGATAGGCAGGCATGCAAAACTGACAGACAAGCATGCAGATTTCTAATCTATCTCACAGAAACAATGATGAACCTCTTAGACTAGCAACTGTGAAGTATTAGCTAGCAACTGTAAAGTATTAACATCCATTACACACACACACAATTTTAAACACACATAGCAGATTGGATTAAGTGAAAATTTATATAAAGACCAACATATTTTACAGAAATGTGCAACATTTAAAAATTAAAAGAATAAACTGAAATTCTCAGGAACACATAGTTGTAAATGAAAAGACCTTAGATAAAAATTTCCCTGACGAGACATGATGTCTTGTTCGATAATAAGGCTGATAATTGAACTATGAATTTAAAATATCCTATCATTCTAGCACAAAAGAAATTACAGAGGTAATGAGGACAGACAAGAACAGAAATTAAAAGCCCATTGGTTTTCATCACTATTGATCACATGGCATCATGAGGAAAAACCGACTGAAATAACTGGGGCATACTGAGAGAATGTCAGATGACAGAGAGGTAAACACTGTACACAAGGAAGTTGAATGGTCATAAACCATGAGGCAGACTAAGAAGACAATGCAGAGATAACATCCAGACAGACCGATAAACACTTAGTGTCACCAACTAGAAAGAGAAGGCCAACCAGAGAGATAAAAGAAGTGGGTGATATCTGCAGCAATGCCTCAAAATGCTTGGGATGCTGAAGAAGATGTTCACAAAACATAGTCTCTGTGAGTGTTTTTGTACTTTGAGAAATCACTAGAAAACATGGACTCTGCAAGGAAACAAGCAATATGTGGAATCACATTGTTTTAGACTTAATCTTGATGATTTACTGAATCTATTAAACAATTTTCCTTTTCAAACATAATTTTGCTGTTGTGAATGCTGGTGTCTTTGTGAGTATGCATTGTTACATGTGTGCATGACTAATCACACATGTATGTAAGCTCTGTATCAAACAACATGTAAAATGAACCACTCATAAAATTATAGAAAAAACACCATACAAACAAACCAAAATACAATCAGATGCATCCATATGAAATAAGCCCGACTGACAAGCATGCACTGGTGCAGTATACCAACGGTTAATCGCAGTCCTAAAATACCTTGATAAGAATGGCAAACGAGACAACTGCCAGTATGCCAAATAAAATGCCAATAAAGATCATGATGAGCCCAACAGCTACATTACTGCCTACCACTGTCAGACCTGAGATGATCCCACTGGAAAATGCACACAACTGATTCAACAACAGCTTTAACATCACAAAGAAATGCACAGAACATTACTGGCTTAGTGGCATTAAGATATGGCAAAACGTATAGAAAACATCAAGAATACAACTGGTTTAACAAGGATGACAATAAGTTGTACTGAACAAAACAGGTCAGGTTTAACAGCATTAAGATATGATGAAATGTATAGTACACAACTGGTTTAACAATATTAAGATAACTAAATGTATAGACTACAAATGATTTAATATTATTAAGACGACAAAGACAGGTACAGCACATCTTTAAAATCACAAAAGTCAAATTAGATGCAGATGAAATGCCAGAATTTGCAAAAGACTGACGAATTGTAAATGATTCTCCATAAGACATTATTTTCAAATAACATTTTATTTTAATAAATGTTAACGGTGGACCAGCTATTTAAAAAATGCACTTAAGCTAGGGTATCATAAGAAAATCTGCAGTTAGGAGACTGGTGCACATAATGATCAACATGATTTCATGTTCAGTAGAGAACAGATCTCAGACTGACTACCTCTACATTTTGAAAACTATCTTGACAGTAAGCTGCTGCTTCTTCTTCATAGCGTTCACCAGCTGTGAACTCTGGCAGAAAGTTCTGGCAATTTATCCACTCCTGGACTTTGCTTCTGATCAAGAACTTGAGTTTTGCATATACATCCATTTTACAGATTTGGCTGACTTGTATGCAGACCATTGATTCCTTGCCTCTCTGGCAGAAGCACTCCTTCTTTGAAGGCATCATCCCTAACTTGTTGCCTCATACAAAATTCTAGGTAGGGAACAGTGGGTCTATTCTTTGTACTCCTAAATACAACCTGGGGAACCGACTCAGGTATCTCACAATAATCAATGGGACCAAGGATGCAGTAAAAAAGTTGACTTGGAGCTTGAATACCTGCAGACCAAAACTGACCTAGACTGCATCTCCCCTCTAGGTGGCGGCTGTGACAAAAATGACTGTACTTTGGACATAAAAGTCAAGTTTGAAGAGGAAAATCAAACCCAGCCACATACAGTCTTTTACGGTATGTAAATGTGTCAGCCAATAGGAGCAAATAACACACAACATTGTTAGCGTACTTTTAACTATGTAATAAGATGAAACAGAAGATAAGGAAAAGAGGAGGAAAAAGAATAAGGACGAAGAGGAGGAGGAAGGGGAGCGGAAGGGAGGAGGAGGAGGTAGTAGAGGAGGAGAAGGAAGAAGAAGAAAAAAGGAGGAAGATGAAGAATAAAGTGTAATATCTTTTCAAGAAGAAAAAAAGGGTACGGGCATAAAAATGTAAGAAGTAACAGCTCTAATAATAGATTTAAATTAACGCTAGCATTAATAAAACTAATAAACATAAGTGTCAACCTTCTTATAAACATCAATTTTAAAAAATGTGATACTTACACAGTAAAATCTGTAATTCCTAAACACTGGACGACATACACACAGAATTGGAAAAAAAAGATAAAGAAGAAGACAAAGAAGTTAAATGAACTGTCACTCCTGAAAAAGAAAAAAAAAACATTATTTTAGAATATTATGCAATCTTTTTTTTATCAATAAAATAAATCTATTTGGAAAATAACATAAGAGGGTGGAGAAAGTAAATACTGAAGGAGGTGGTAGATAAAATAAATACAGCTAAGGAAATAACAGTGAAAAAGAAAAAAAACAGAGATGAAAGAGAAGAGTAGTGTAGATCAACTATGAGAAGAACGGAGCAACTTTTAAAATGTAAACCTGCAAATAGAAATTATTACTTAATCCAGGTAATTAATAATGCACTCAAAATAACTTGTTCTCTTTGAAACTAGAATCAAACACTGAGAAAGAATGCGAGGAGAAGGAGGAACAGAATAAGATAATCAAAACAGAGGAGGAGGAATGACAAACATGCATCAGCAATTATTTATTAAGAACTGATGCTGTATCTGCAATAGTTCGCTGGCTGAATCTGTAAACCTACATTGGTCTGTTACATTCTACTCGCTTACTGTGACATACTTGCATATGACATTTCCATTTGTGTTGTGTTCTTGTGTTCTGTTTCTACTTGATGTCTGATGATGTAGGTGTGTAGCTACATATTTTGTTTACAGAAATGTAATACTGTAAAGCTGATCAATACTCTGGTTATTTCAGTGGTTTAAATTCACTCAGCTTTACCAGTTTTGATGTTGGTACCTTTCCATCTTTTCAGAGGAGTGTTATATTGTGCTATAGGTAAGCATGGATATCACAGTCCATTATCCGCTCCATAGCACAATACCTAGGACAAGAACCATGCGCTGTCCAGGTATCCTTATCCCTCACTCGACCTGCCTTGTTTATTCCAAAGGACAGGTAACACCAATATGTTACATTAAAAAATTTTTTGTAAAAAAAAAAAACATGGAAAAAAAAGTGGAGCATCAGGCATATGATGTTAGACTTGGTTTATGATGTGGTCAGCATCACGCTGGCCACCTTTACTTCCCAGGACTTTGCCTGGTACTCATTTTTTGCTGGGTCGACCTGGGAGCCAAGGTCATTTTTTAAGAAGAAAAAAAAAAGGACAAAAAATCTGGCTCGACACATACTCAAGCTCAAGACTTTCAGGCCAAAAGCAAATATCTAGCCACTACACAACTGGAGCTCCCTATGTTGCACAACTTTACCGCAACTCAACATCCTTCATTAAGATAACAACATTTTGAGGCAGTGGTCCAAGTTCACTTCCCAAGATTTGTTGTGGTCAGTTCAGCTCAAGTGCCAAATTAAGAATCTTCTAGCGTTTACATGAGAAGAAAAGGTGATGAGGTAGAGAACTGGCCATCAACATCCATCAGTTGTTGCCTAGAATGTGTGAAGGTCTAACACTTCAAACCCCACTGGCAGTATCTGCCTTGACACTATCCTTGATATCAGCATTTAAAAAATAAACACCACTTCTCTCAGTACAACTAAAAACAACTGAAACACACAAGTATGATACTAACCTAAAAGCTTTGTAAAGTGGGCGGAACCAGCACACAAATGAACATGGTGTGAATAAAATAAACCACAGAATGGCCAGGCCAAATGTTGTTCCTCCGCTGCTACTTGATGCAATTAAAAATGCCAAACTCCCAAGTATGTTTAGGAACAGCACTACCACATGAACTGCAGACAACACATGCCAATGTTAAATATTATTATACAGATTTTTCTGTGCTATAACTGTACATGTAATTTTAATGTTATCAGTTAAAGTGCTAAATTTGAGTTACTTTATTCACTTGAGTATACAAAAAAAAAAGCTTTTTTTTTTAAAATTACAGGTTAGTTAGTCTTTTCTCTTGTGTCGAGTGCGGCACATAGGGCAGAGGTCGCGACTCTCCATGCACGGCGGTCCATTGCAATCCGTTGTAGGTCTTGGATAAATTACAGGTAAGTTATACAAATAACCAAGAATGCATAAAAATGAAAAATTAAAGCAGTGTTCACAAATGTCATTTGGAGCCAACTTGAACACTTATCAACCAGTATGGATTTAGGTTTAAACGAAAAAGCAGAAATCTTTTTCATGAGTCACCTTGAAGAAATACTAACATACAGCAAGGGGAAGACCACACAGAGGATGGAGCGGAGGCACGAAGAACCACCTTAAAGAAATAAGGGTAAACATACAAAGTGCATTAAAAAAATATTTTATCTTCCACTTCTCCAAAATTTCACTCTGGTAATTGACGGAAGATAATTTTTCTTCTTTTTTTTTAAATATGAACTGGAATTAGATGGCAGCTTTTGGTTAGTCACTTGAGTAAGTAAAGTAATAGACCCTTTAAAATTACGTACTGAGCATATAGGGCTAGACCTATATTTTATAAATCAATCCGCACTCAGTGGGGAATACGATCAACGCACCAGCCACCTTTACTTCCCAAGACTTTACCAGGTACACATTAAAGGCTGGGTTGACCTGGGAGCCATGGTCATTTTTTAAAGGGGAAAAAGTCAGGCTAGTACCTGGACGTGTAACTTTTGAATCCTCTAGCTGGTAAACTGAAACAGACTCCTGACACAGAAATAGTACACCTATAACAGTCACACTCTATGGCACAGCTTTTCAAACTTTTCATGTTGGTGACACACTTTTTTAAGACAAGCATAATTTTGCGACTCAATAACTCAGTCTACTGGCAAACCAGAGTGTTACTTTATTAGAGGCAGCAGCTTATTCATAAACTGTAGTAATAAAATGTTTCATGACAACCTATTTCATGAAAACCTTTCATTTATATAGATAACTGATAAAATCATGCAAACAACTTCAAACTACAGCTGATAGATTAACGTACATGACATAGTTGGGAAAGCTCTGCTACAGTCTCTAAAATCAAAACTGTATGTGTTTACGCTAAATAGTTTTAGATTTGTTTGATCTCTCTCTCTCTCTCTCTCTCAGAATCTCTTTCTCTCTAATCCCTATAAAGGGATAAATAAAGCAGTAAAGAAAGTAACTGAAAACTGTGGAACATATACTTACAACCCCACAAGTAATATGCAAACTTGACAATGCGCTGAAATTCTAATGGTATATCAACACTAATGTCTTGATAAAAACAGGGTCCAACTGGGAGAAACTTTGGCAGGGGAGGCCAGTTGTTTTCCCGTTCTGAAACAAATAAATAACAAGGCAATGTCACATGTACTGCCTATAACAGAATGCATTGCAATGACTGGGTCATTATTTCAATGACAATACCTCAAGTGTAAGATGCAGTGGCATCAAGGGAAGTGTTTAAACTTAGTGCGTTCACCTCGAGTGCTGGAGGTTCTTTGGTTCAAGTCGCGGTGAAGGCTTAAATTTTTTCATGTGGATTCCCAGTAATTTCCCTTGGTCTCTGGGTAGTAAGATTGGACGCCCGTGTGTATTGTTGTGCACGTAACAAATCCCTTGGCCGTTGGCAATAAAAAAAAAAGAATAGCCTAATATCGCTGCCTGGGCAAAATTTGGAGTTAAAAATCTACCCAAAGTATTTCAGGTTCCTTGCTGGTGCTACGGAATTCATGCACTGCACCGAGATTCTTCTGACTCAGGCTTGAGTCAGAAGTAGAACGGAGCACTTATGGGTTACTACTGTTGTGCCATGATGTTGATCTGTCATCTCAACCTAAGCAAAGATCTAGGTTCTTGTCTATACACAACCCTGAAGCTGGTACATTCTCAAACAATTAGTAAAAGAGATTTCTCTGAGCAGGAAGGAAAGGTGAAGACGATAAGAAATCACTCAAATACTTAACTGTTTTGGCGAAGTTCAAATGCAACACTTATGCTGAGGAACACAATGACAATTAACCACTATTAGTCAGCTATTAAGGTTCAAATGCCCAGCAGATATATGCCCCATGGCACAACAGCAAAGTCTCACATGTCGGACCATCATAAAGTCTTACCCTTTGGCAGAAAGGTTGAGATATCTGTTACCAATGGCCCCACTTGCCAGAGTTTCTGGACCATGCCTGATGCATGCTTCTCCATACTGTCGTGCTAAGTTTTCAGATAAAACAACATAAAAGGTATCTAGCGTGCTGAATAAGAATTTTCCAATCTGTGTAGTCATTAAAGTCCTGGACCTGCGGGCTGCTCCCTGCTGATCTCAGGAGGGCGCAGCCCTTGAACAGTTGGAAACTCAGCATATGATGTCAGGGTAATCAGCCACGTGCAGGACGTGACGATTCCTTGGGTGAGCTTAGGACCAGAGACAAGCGCATCATGTATCAGCTCTGCATTTATTTGGAAGCACCATTAGATGGCAGGAAATGTCTATGATCTGCCTCTGCCTTCCCTTGTGGGCCAACCTGTCTATATCTGGTTGACCTGGGCAAGTTCCCCATGATCAACCCCTGCTGATAAGGGAACACAGAGAACAAAACATTAATAAGGCTATGCTAACACCCCACAAAACTATCAGGGAAGTTAACCCAGTCAACAAATGCTCGGTGAAGTTGGGTGAGTCAGCTGAAAGTCTCAATTACTACAGCCATGCTGTAAACAGGCACAATGAATTTACGTCACTGGGTCAAACAAAAAGAAGAAGATAAAACATCAGACTGTCTAAGATGAAAAAATGTTATCAACAGAGCTGACCCACAGCACCAAAGGCTGAATAAAATTTTGAGGACATTTATGAACACAGCACAAGATGATGATGATGATGATACAGCAGACAAAGACTCTTACTTCCAGCATACTGTGCATTTTTTATCTCTTGTTCTTTCCGGTGTAATTCTTCAGCTTTTCTCTCCAGTTCCTGCAATCAAAATTAATACCACGTTTTAAATACACAATTAAAACAGCCTCATGAAAAATACTGCTTTTAGTGGTATAAATGTTAACTGTAGACATACTAGATCGTAGTATGGTGTAGTATATACTAATATCTAATGATCTAAACTTCTAAGACCGAATCTAACATAGGACTACAAGTAAAGAAGGTAATGGGCCCCCTTTTTTATGCCAGTGGTTCATCGGACATGTGAAAGAAAACTCACATTTTTATAGACAAACTTCTAGTTAGTGGGTGATGTGGACATGATCAGGTACTCATACTAGAGTGGGCTCATCCGGAAGGCCAGGTCAATTTTGTTTTTCAAATCTGCCTTAATGCAGATCAGAACCCAAAACCAGCAGGTGAACATCTTGACACTATACTACTACATCTCCTAGGATTACAGTTAAACTGCAACAAATGCTGCTGATTCTTTTCTCCTAGTGCTCTGTTGTTCTAGCAACACATAACGCAAGGTCTGGAAGTATGCTGCTGTCACTGGGAATTCAATGAGACTCCTAGATAGGTTTGTGAAGATCTCTCAGGATTACTGATCAATCTACAAATGACAAAACATGTAGCAGTCTTAAGTATAAGTATAAGTTTGGCTGCCTTTTCTTCCTGTCCACTCCAGTGCAGCTGGTAAGCTAAAGCAGCAGACATCTGCATCTGCCAAAATTCACAGACAAATTTCATTATCTCAAGATGTACATGTTACACCACTTAGGTTCCAGCTTTAAAATGACCATTCTTGTGTGCCGTTCTAAGAGAATCACTAAGTACACAATAATGAACATTAAAAAAAAAAAGTAAGCGGTTACCATCGTTATTTGATTTACAAATTAATCTGCAGTTTAGAAGAAAAATAGCATCATAAAAATTGAAAAACTGTGGCTGAACTGCATTAACTTAGTTTTTAAAAAAGGTATACATGAGGTCACTACATGACTAGTAATAAAATAAGGCTGGTGTAAATTAAATTGTTTTTGTTTTTCTTTCATTGTGAAAACTAAAAATAAAGCGTGAACTATTCAGCCTCAGTAAGTTTTATTTAGTGCCGTACAAGTGTAGTTTTGTTTATTTTTTTGAATTGTATAATTTAACTATTTTTCTCATTTTGTTTTAACATTACTTATATTTTCCTGCTTATGTGTCAATTTTTTAAAGTTGTGCATTTCTGATGTGGTTGGTCCCAGTTTTCTGTTGAACATTTTGGTTTTTAATTTGTTTCCTAGTTTTGTCAATTTAAAAAAACAATATTAATTTTTTTTTTTAAATAAAGATTCTTTACTATTTTTGTTTCCAGGTTCTATGTCTGGCTAGCTGAGGGCATTTATGTATGAATCTGTGCACTTGTGTATCTGTATGAGTTTGTGTATGTTCTGTTTGTCTCTACCTGTGTGTGCATCTTGGTATTCGTTGGTATATGTATGCCAGTCTCTAGATGTGTGTGTTTTTTTGGTGTTTCTGCGAAACTGTATGGGTGCCTAGTCCTTTTGAGTGTATGTGAGTCTAAATGTGCATTTACTTATGGCTCTATGCCTGATGTGTTTTTGTCTATTTGTGTGTCTATATGTGTGATGATCTTTGTTCATGTTTTGTATAAGTGAGTGTGCTAATATTAATATGTGCACACATCTGTGTCTCTGTATATGTATGTGCACCCTTGTATGACTGTGTGTACCAGTGTCAACTATGTGGCTAGTGCCTTACACACAAAACACCTCCGAAATAAAAACATAAACAGCTAATGTGCTAATTTTACACAATCACGAATCAGAAGTGACCAAATGTTTAGAAAACAGTGTTTTAACTTGGAGCCTGGGTTCTTCTTCTTCGTCGCCTTCACCAGCTGTAAACTCCAGTGGAAAGTTCTGGCTGTTCATCCACTTCTGGACTCTAGTTCTGTTCCAGAAACTATATGTTGTGTGCACTTTTGTTTCACAGGTCTGGCTCATTTTGCATGCAGACTGCTGGTTCCCCACCTCTCAGGCATATGTACTTTGACTTTGAAAGAAGCTCCCAATTAGTCGACTCTTACGACATGCTTCTGGATAGGCAGTGGGTCTATTCTTGTTTTCCCCCACAATGGGGCCCCGGAACTGACACAGGGAGAGACTGGGTTAAAATCTACTAAGAAACATATGTGAGAAAAAAATCATACTTATCAATTAATTACTCACATACTAAAACTGTTTTAACTGTCTATTTTACTAAACCAGCAAAAGTATAAATATTTAGAAAAGGCTAAGCAAGAAAGTGTGTGATCCTAACAAACATAGCAGGAAATGGTGTTCTTATTTCAACATCTTCGCAACAAAGAATACAGAGATACACCAAAATATTCATTTTCACATATTTATGTAAAGTGTTAGTCCCATACAAGTGGGTGATGATGGATGCCTTCACTATCCATGATATTTCATATGTTAGACAGGATCCATCTAGAAGCCCAGGTCAATATTCAACACGTCTCGATGGAAATATAAAACTATGACAACAGGACTGGCAGGTAGCATATATGCTAGGCATTGTGCTATCCCAGCTCCCATAACTTTTTAATTCACTGCACTAAATATGACAAATACAACCTACGAGGGTTCTGAATTTTATCATAAATGTTTAAAAAATAATAATTAGAGTAGATAAGCAACCAAACAATTCAATTTATAACTTTTCATTTTCTCAGATTTAAAAAAAAATATCATATGCTTGAAATAATCCATAATTGGTTTTTTATTTCTGTGAAAAATGGGTAAAAATGGGTGGCCAGGCAGGAACAAAATAACGGAGTAAAATAATTTATATTACACAAGGAAAACAGCAATGAAAATACAGATATAGAAATTTGTTTAATGCAATGATTCGCATTTAGTCCTTAGCTTCACAGCTAAAACTGTTGAAAACTGTGCACTTTTATAGATGAAACTGCAGTAAATAGATTATCATCCTCAAATGTTTAGCTGATAAGTGTGTGATCAATGTTCACCATCCAACATGATAACTAGAATCACGGATCAGGTCAGTGCTCTTGACTTGCCTCCATCCATGCGGCCCTGCCATATGGCATTTGTCTCCATGTCTTCAACTGACTATTTTGCCCATTAATCTTGCTAGTTGTTATCAAATGCTCAAATCTATTCCTTCTCATAACATGAGAAGGAATACTTTTTGTTGTGTGCTGCTGACTTCTGTTTCCTGACACATCATTCAGCTTTAATACTTAGATCATTCTGGATATATCTGATTCTTTCTCTTTTCTGAACAACGTGCTTGCCACAAACAAAAATGTGTTGGCTGCAGCCATCCAGACAAGTCTGTGAATGTTTGTCACTAGCCTGTAATTATTAATCCCAAAACAAACTAACCACCTTACAAACAAGAAGCTAACAAAGACTGGAAGGTGAAAGAGGAATGATGCATAACATCTGTTCTGGGAAGCAAGTGAGAGGGAGGTATAAAAACAAATTAATGCTGTTTGCAACAACAACAACAAAAGAATGACCAGAATACATTACTAGTTCATGGATTACAATGCAGTCAGACATCTTTAGATATAATGCAATTTCAAAGTCAGTCTTTATATTACATATTTGTTCTCCAACACTTGCGGAAAAGATACATCATTAAAGAGTTGGCTTGGACTGCAGCAATGTTAATTATGCTAATAGTAAATATAATTAAAGAGTTGTGAAAGAATTAAGTTTTGACAGTGTAGATAGGTGCATAGTTATAATTTTTTTTTTAACAGACAGGTAACAGATGTAAAGTTACATTTTGAACAGCATGGTCACTTGTCTGAATGAGTGTGTTGACACGAGGAAGAAGTGAGTTATGTTTTTATTACCATGCTGTATTTATAAATGACTTGCACAGCGTGCTTCAGAAAATAGAAACTGGTGTCTTGAACTCAGAGTGATTTGGATCACTTGATAACACTCAAGATAAGAAGCATATTGCTCAGGACATTCAGATTTGCATGGTAAAGCAGGCTAATAGGTTAGCTGCTGCTGCCCCTCTGAACTACTTTACAAGGTATGGTGAAGGCTCTCTGAGATAACGTAAACACTGCATCAGAACAGACACACCATCGTAATCCATATCTGGAGAGATTTATTCAGCTGGGAGCGGGCAGAGGATTAAAAAACTCCAGCATGGGAAAAACCGGAGAATTTTTATTCATGTTGCACTTGTCAGCATCAGTTTTGGAACTCTTCGCTGGTAACTGAGGAGAAAATGGAGCACATATGGGGAACATCTACCAGGTATATAATTACATTTTGTCTACTTCTGCACCCTTGAAAGACAACGTATTGCCTGTATTAACAAAAAAAAAAAAAAAAGATATTCTCATAGTATGGGAAAAATTCAGTGGTAAACAAATGCTACAATGCTGATAAATGATGATAATGAAAGCAAAGAAAGCTGAATTTCTTAAAAACAAATCAGGCGCATCAGAGGAAAGCAGGAATAAACTCAACACACTTTCAGAAAGTTGGAAAGGTTGCTGGTTGTGGTAAAGAAATGGTTACTACATATACCACTGACCTCCTCCATGTCTTGTAAACTAGGTTTCAGCAACGGTTTTCCCTAATATATATACATACAGTTAACAGAATACAGATTAAAAGAGATTCACATGCTGCATATCTTCCACACCAGAAAGTTTATTACCGCATGAAAGGAATAAAAAAAGAATACCCATTCTACTTCTTCAAAAACCATTAAATGTCCAGCTAGTATTAATATACTTCTAGTACTCCTTCAAAATGCCCAGGAAATATGCAAATGTTAATGAGGAGGCTCTTTTTAAGAAATGTCTAAACATGACCAATATTAAAGATGGCCCTAAATAGGTTTGCCTAATATATGTACCTTCCTCTCTGTGTTTTTGGTGATATACTTTATTTTTCTACTTTATAGTTGCTTGTACATAACACAATGTTCTATAATTTATGTAACAGATAGCACATATCTAAAAGTATAGTCCAGGGCCTAGCTGTTCTATCACCAATAAACTGGGGCACTGTCTCGACAATGAAGGCTGAACGCAATTGATCCTCAACTTTCACACTGGTTGTTCACCCTGACAAACTGCAATTAGTTCATCTTATTCTTTTATTGTCCCACTTGTATCATTATCTAACTCTTGCTTATCCATTTCCAACATTTCTTTAACTCTCTCTTTCTCTGGAGTTTGGAAGGGCTGAATGTAAGACAGGCCTGTGTGCCTAATTTGTGACCCTTTGAAAATAAAGTTTGTTCATTCGTTCTTTCTATCTCTCTCTAGCACTTCAGTTCCTGCCAATGTTGTTTCTGTCCACTTCTGATTAGCATCAGCTTAGTACACATTAGGTTTGTCTAATGTCCATTTTCCAATAAGTGCAGAGGTGACCAACCAAGTTAACCCAATATTCAATAGGATAGTATTTACATCAACAGCATGTGCCTTGAAAACGGATGCAGACATTCATGCATCTCTATCAACCTCAGCCCGCAGTGTTATGGATCTTTTCTAATGATGGCATTCATCCATATTTCAGATCAGTGGTTGCCAATCTCTTCTTTTTTTAGCCTGCCATGGACCTCATACTTTTTAATGGTTAAAGTAATAAACAAAAAAACTTTCTAATGAAATTAACTGGCGAATGAAGGTCCAGCATAGTGATACATGCCAGTCAGTCTAGCAGGTGTATTAGCGGGGGTAGGAAGTTTCCAAATGGCCTGACTTCTGTGACAGACTGTTCATTTTGACTGCCTGATCCGGTCATAAACAGTCTATCATAGAAGCCATGCTGTTTTGAAACTTCCTACTCCACTCAGGCACTTGCTTAATAGGCATGCATCACCATACTGGGCTCTCATTCACTGATGAATTTCTACAGGTTCACCCCGTCACTGAACAAAAAAAGGCTAACCAAACGCTGCTACCCTCTGATGCATACTAAAGGTGGTACGGCCATCTTCACATTGTCATTGTGATGTCACCCTATTTGTACCGTGATGCCACGTGCTCATCATTCTTGACATGCCTAACAATACTGAGGCGTTACAAAATAATGGTATGGTTATTGTAATTTCTATCACACTTTTGACATGACACTCTTAAAGTTTTCATTTTCTTTTATATAACCAAATGACTGCACCTCAAATATCCCCCCCCCCCCCCAAAAAAAAAGACTACCAAAAAGCACATGCAAGGACACACTTTCAGAAACTATGTGATGAACATTCAACAAACACAAAACATACCTCCTGTCTTCTCTGAAGCTCACTTGTGTCAATTTTCTGAGCCCCGGTTTGTGTGTAGGGTGGTGGGGCATCAGATGGTGTCATAACCGCAGGCTGAGTGTGAGCAGACTGAGGAGGAGGAATGCCACCACCTCCCTAGAATTGTATACAACAAAACACATAAACAATGTGCAAAGACTATAAAGTTTATTTTTAAGATGACTTACTACTGTTTAAATTCTCTGTAATCATGCATGTAATAAAACTATATATATATATATATATATATATATATATATATATATATATATATATATATATATATATATATGGACACATAGACACATATATTTCATACGTCTTTCTTTTTAGCTGCATTATGAGAAGAAAACAAAACCATTAGAAGGATTTGGGGGGGGGGGGAGAGGGGGGGGGGGAGAGGGGGGGGCAGAGGTGATAACAAGTGAAGATTCTTTATGCTCTTTTATAGGGCATAGAATAATAATAACACCTTTTTTTAAGGGGGTGGGTATGTTAATTTTAAACAGCCTTTAAAATTAACAAATATATAATATTAATATATAATCTGGAATTGTGCTTAGTTTATTTTGTAAAAGACCACCATCACTGCACATATAATAATAATATGAAAAATAATTGTTGAACAATAATTATCAATAGCAAGGATAACGAATCATGATATATCTCTTCAAATAAATGATTTCTCAATAATATAAACACATAAAGCCAGAAATTATAAAACAGAATGGGGCACTCTTTCCAAATAACGGTCCCAAATTATCGAAACATACCCTAACAGTGCCTCAATGATATGTAAAATTAGGATTTATTTCCGGCAATATGGCAAGCAGACCATCAGCTCCTACACACTTTAGCAATAATGTCCTAGCGATTGATGAACTGGCACCTGTAGATGTTAGACCTGTCGTCTTATACATGTGCCACAATTATCAGATATGACTATTAACTACGACTGGTAAGTGTGTCACTCATTCTTATATTTTTGTTCCTAATTTTTTTATATTTCTATAAGATGACCTATTAAGGCCCTGTTAGGGTATATTTTTAACAATAATTTGGGACCATTATTCGGAGGAGTGCCCACAATTCTGTTTCACAAGTGCTTAGAGTACACCCAAACAATCAGTCACACCTAGGTGAAATATAAAATTTCACCAGAAACAAGGGGAGAATAAATAGAATTCTGAACCAGGTCACCAAAAGAATTGAAAATGAAGACAAGTAACATGCTTTTTATGACAGCTTCCTAACAGAAATGACTGTGAACAAATATACATTTGATATGCTTCATAAGAAAACAGGAGTTGATGGATAGACAAGAGGTCAGCCTAACCTCTATGTAATGGGTACCAGAGTTAACACTCTAGGGTAAATGGAGGAATGTCGCTGTAGCTAAGGACGGCGACACAGGCAGAAGATTTCTTATCAGCTGTCCGTACTGGTGGCAGAGCACTTATGGTTTATAACCATGTGCAATGATGCTGGTTCACATCTCCTGACTTAACCTTTACTAAGGTTCTAACCATGATAATGCTATGAATGTATATGCCTCAATGGTACAAGCAAACATCATAAGCCTGAACATTGCATGGTGATCACTTGATGTGGCATTTATTTTTTCCTCAGTCATTATCCAAACCCATCTGGCATAAACCAGAAATATGGTACTAAGTTGTATACAGTCAGGCAGGCAGGCAGGCAGACAGACATCAGAAAACTGGCACCAACCCTGTATTAGGATAATATGTGTGATTTATTTCAAATTGTCACCTGGTTAGCAGGGCGTGTCTGGCGTCCATCTGCAAAAGGATTGAAATCACCTAAAACTTCTTGCCGTGCCCCAGAATGTGCAGCTTGCTGGACAGAAGGATCCTATTTAAAATTTAAAAGAATAAACTGAAAACACATTCAAAAACACATTTACTACCAAAATTAGGTAGTTAAGCACACATTTTTGCTTATTAAAAACAAAAAGATTAAACAATAAATATGGTTCCTTATTGTAAGCATAGAAAACAAAGCCAGATATTTTGAAATTTTAACTGCCTTCTATGAAATCATAATGAGAAATACATATTTTAATCAATGTATTTATAAAATAAAGGAAAGATAAGCAATGTGTACAAGCACAAACTGATGATAATAATGAAGATTTAAAAAAAAATTAAATAAGCACTCAATGTCATAAATTAAATGAAGAATGATAACTGAACTATCTTAAACAAATGCAGTACAGATGTGCTTTATCTAAGCAGTACCTTGGTTGAAACAATTACAACAGATTAACAGCACTATCGTAATTTAAGATAAACACAATGTTTATGATATCAAAATAATTAAAATAAACAAAGATGGAATATTTAAAAAAAAAAAAAAGGGAAAAACTGTATAAACAAACATTAAACAGTAAAAAACAATATCTTATTTGCGAATTATTTAAAGAATGGTATTACAGTAGAGAGGAACAAACTCTGAGTAATATCTTCTTCTTCTTCCTTGTGTTCACCTGTAAGTCCTGGTTGTTTGTCCACCTCTCGACTTTAGTCTTGTTCCAAAACCTGAGTGTTGCAAGCACATCCGTTTCAACAGATCTGTATGTAGATTTTTGGTTCCTTGCCTCTCAGGCAGATGCACTCCAACTTCAAAGGAAGCCCCCAATTAGTCGACTCTTACGACATGCTTGTTGGGGAGGAAGTGGGTCTGTTCTTGTTTCCACCACAATGTGGCCCTGGAACCCACAATGGGGAAGATGTAATATGAATGTATGGTTTACATTGGTAGCTTTAGATTGTTTATATCTTATATATCAAGTATCAATGTTGCTAGAACAACTGACACATTCGCAGAAGCATTAATTCTTTCTTCTTCTTCTTATATTGACGGCTGTAAAATCTGGGAGAAATTTTTGCTCTTCACCCACTTCTGGATTTTGGTCCTGTTCCATAACTAGAGTTCTGCTCGCACATTTATTTTACAGATCTGGTTTATGTGTAATCAGACCACTGGTGTCTCGTCTCTAAAGTAGGTGCATCTGAATATGAAGAAAGAACCCCCTAACTGGTTGCCTATTATGAAATGCTTGTGAAGGTGCAGTAGGTCTATACCTTTTCCTCCAAAATGGGTGCTCCAGAACCCATATGAGAAACTAATTCGTACTAGACAATTTTCTGTTATCTCCTTTATTTTCAAAAATGTCTTTTCTTTTCCTTATACATAGTTGGGTCAGAATATGCAACAATAATAACACTTTGATAAAGAAGGAATTAAATTAACAACCGGATGTGATAAAGGGAGTTAAAAACATTTATAACGTAAAAAGAAACAACAAACTCATGGTCAACTGCTTTTGCATTGAATGAGTTAATAGCAACAATAAAAGAAATTCAGGAGAACAGAATAAAAATAATTGAATTAAATCATCAAGAAATCTAAATACTGTAGAAACCAAAACATCCTCACTGAATAATTATTCTTTGCTGATTATTAAAGTTTAATATATAAAAATTAAACAAATGTTTTGAGGAAACAAGGGCATTAAAGGGAAACCCTAAGAAAAACATTGTTAAGAGAAGCAACAGATGCTGGACTGGATTCTATCTAAGATATCAGAAGGATTGCCCAGGGCAGAAAGAAATGGAAGTTTATAAGCTGCAAACCTTATGTGACCTATAACCGCATGAAAGGATGACGAGGATACAATACGGAAGTGAAATTGAACATTCTAAATACTTTAAAATGCAGGGGGGAAAAAATACCATGAAGGTCAACATCTAAAAGACCAAAATCATGAAGATGCTTTGATCACCAACCCCGCTAAACAAGCGCACATACATAACACTGACGTAGAATAGGTTACAGAGTTTAGCATCTAGGCTGCTTTTAAACAGAGAACAGATTTGATAGAGATGGCTCTTTGGTTGGGAACCCACTGGAAGTCTGACTTCCAACTGCAAAGTCTTGTGCTTTGGTATGCAGATAATTTGATAAATAAAAAAAGCTTGCATTTATCAGGGTGAGATAGAGGGAGAGACTTCTTATTCAGTACCAAAGCCCCATGTATATTATTCAGAATTTTATTTCTAGTAAATCTTTCAATTCCAGGTGTTATTTTGATCTCCTCTATCGAAAAAAAGTTGTTCCTTTAACTAATAAATGACTGAGGTTGTTTGAGTTAAAATCAGAGCACTGTAAGACAGAGAGAGTTACGTAATAGCTGACGTATAATGAATTAATGTAACAGCTGTTGTGAGTCCAATGGGATTAGAAAAATAAATCATGCAAGTATACACCAATAGTTTTTTTTTTTAACTTCTGGTGGTATGCACCGGTAGACATTAGCCGTACCTTTTTTAAAGGCACTATGATGTCAGTGCAACTGTAATACTGCAGTGAGTAATAACTGTCCTAATTTTTGGTACCAGAATCTCTCTCTGTGGGACTGCTGTTTCAGTCCCACTACCCCCTCTCCAAGCCCAGAAACTAGTGGGGTGTACAAGATTGGCACTGGAAATTAATATCTGTGGAGGGCCATCATGACTGAGCATAGCATAGGGACACAGAGACTGGCTGTCCTACAAATGTTTCCTCTTCAGGTTTAAGGTATTTTGCACTATCATCACACCAACTTGATATCCTGGGAAATGGGATGTAAATAAACACTGATGTGTACAAAGTTTACAGTTGTTGTGTTGTTATGCATCTGTGAGAACAATTCAGGTTTTCGTGTTCTTTGTGGTATATTTAGGACTTTGGGAACAGCTGAGAAACCCTGAGAACCAAAATCTACAAGTTTGAAAGCAAAGTCACTGTCTGCTGAGTCCAACGTGTGACTTTTAAGTTGCGCTCCGCGGGACATTCCTATAAGCGCTATGTCACTATCTTTAGCAACCAGAGCATAGTTCCGATTCCAATGGTACCAATACAGTAGAAGTCTGATTATGTCCGGCTTTCCTCCGAGTGTTGAGTGGCGGCCACTTTGTGACTGCTAAATTACTATCTATCGTTGTAGAGTAGTCTTGCTAATAATAGTGGTCTCAAATGTCACAGTCTCACCCTAAGAAGTATTGTACATTGTAGAAATGTGTTCTTAAATGGAACTCCTACGACGTTTAGTCTCCCAAAATGTACATATACACAGTCATAGTCTGCTGTTGACTCAAATGTCGTCTGCCACTCACTCAACAAGCCGACAAGACTTAACAGAGAATAAAAGAAAAATTAAAATACAACTCACAGAAAAAGGACTAGCCGCGCGAGGGTCCGCAAATGGATTTGAATCAAAATCGGACATACTGGTGTCCTTTTGTTTCTAGAATAAAATCAGAATTAACAGTTGTAAAAGCCAGTAAGGGTTCTCAGGTTCGCCTGTCCACAAGAAGACTTGTACGACGAGAACGATTGATGATTTTCGGAAGTGGTAAATTATGTATCAGCGCATGCGCAGTTCTCATTGGTCACGTGCCCCTGAATGGGGGCTGATATTATTATAATAATCAATCATACATAGATGAGATTGACTCAGTTAAAAAAGAACCCTGGAAAATATGGAAGAGTTATTTGATTTTGAACATGCGTCAACTTAAGTTTGTATTGTGCCCACATAAGAAGGACCATCACAGGATATAGCCATAAAGTTGTCACAGGCTGAAAATGACTGCTGGTGTGTAATTATCCCCCAGCATTCTAATGGCAGTGCCAGTCCTATAAATGACAAATATTGTGCTCTCAACACCCCGTTAACAATCTTTCTTTAGCACTTGAGTTCAGTGGCACGAGAGTTCTTATACTCGTGCAAAACCGTCCCAGCCCCGCAACAATTTCCAATCAGCACTAGAGTTCAATAGCACGGAAGTTCTAATAATCGTGTAATCCCCCTCCCCCCCCCCCCCAGTCGCCCTTTTTCCACAACAACCCTTACCAGGTACTATAGAGTGCCAGTCCAAGCCACTCTTTATGGTGGAATTAACACCTCTTAGCCAACATACTTGGCACAAAGACACCAGGCCACAATTATAGCCGAAACTGCTCATTGTAGGTTGAACGTGGTCGATTCTCTATGTGTTTTGTTTTCATAAATGGATAAATGAATCTTATTGATTGTTGTTGTTAATCCTATTGGGCTAGGATGTTCATTCTTATACCAAAAGTAGAATCGGGGACAGGAGCAAAGCGTCAGAACGTTGACTTGTCGTTTGTGATTGTGTGAAGCTTACTGTCTCTACTTTTCGTTTGCTTTATATCTGCTCACTGTGAATTGATTAGCACTCCTATAAAGAAGTAAAAAGATAGAAGGTCACTCTATACAAAAAAAATCGAAAGCTATAGTTACTATGCTGGGAGTGGAACCTACCACAAAAGACAAAGAGATACATATTTGAATGGTTAACCATATGGCATAAGTGGAATAAAAACACATAAAGATTTCATCCGAGACTGGTAACTGTATAAGATGCTGTCTTTCTGTCTTTTTGTCCTGTCGTATTTCTATTCTTGAATTTTCTCAGGGTTTGCTTTTGTTTGTACATTGTCTAAATCTGCTTTGTTCAGCGTGCCTAATCATCCTAATCCCACACCTTTCCTTATTTTAGCAATTTGCCCACCCATTCCAACAGTAAACAAACTGCTTAGGCAACAATTGGTTTGTGTGATAATTGCCTGGAGTAGCAAGCACATTATTAAAATCAGCTTGACATGTTTATCGTGGTTATTTTCCTAAAAATATGGTACTCAACACAAAGTTTCTATTCCAGTAGCGATGGAGGAAAAAAAGTAATACAGATGCTGCCGCCATCGTCATCATCTGCGCGTCGTTGAGTCACCAGTTGCCGTTAACTGAGTGATCAGGCTCCTCCACCTGTTTTTCACAAGCAGTGGGATTAATGTGAATATGTGAGGCTTGTCTAATCATCCACATTTTGTAGCATTGTTTCTTTTGGCCTACCTCTTCCCCTGTATCGAGTCCTGTAGTGTGGTTTTGGCGAGACCGGTAAATCTTGTTATATGGCCATACCAATTCATTTAGTATTCTCTCTAAATCTCCTCTGTTTACTTCTGTTTTGACTTCACTGAAAGTTCGTAGTGGTTTAATGTACTACGGGTTTCTAAATTGTATATTATTGTTATATTTATTTGTCCAGTTATTGTGTTATGTTATGCTATTACAATCGACATGACTGCACATTGGGCATTCTCATGCGTGCTCAGTCCTCTGATGCAGCAGCACTACAAGGTACTTCTACTAATTAATCCCATGAGAGGTTGGTTATAATAGCTCATATCACCCTCTGAGGCTGCATAAACGTGCTTCATCATGCTTTACTCGCATGTCGCGCAATCGTGTTACTGTCAGAGATTCTTAGTTATCCACTAACCTAGTCCGTAATTAGAAATCAGTGGAAAACCAATCCAAAAAGTAACGAGCACACGGTTTCTAGAAATGATTCTTGATGAACACATGCATTGGGCCATATCTGTGTGGGTGTGCACAATGCATACCAGACCCCTTTCCAACAACCCTCACTAGAAAACTGGCCCAAGCCACTAGATTTGGTAAAATAAACATAATTGGCACAAAGAAACCAGACCAAAATCATAATCGATACTGATCGCAATAGATTAAATGTGATCGATTTTTTGTTTTGTTTTTAACTGAATACGGCGATAAAATCTGACCTGTCCATGCTTTTTCTCACGTTAGTTGGTGCAATCCTTTGATTATGTCAGCAGAGATGGTCTATTCGGGATCCTTGAAAAATATGGATGCCCACCTATACTACTGAGCCTAATCAAATCCTTTCATGAGAATATGAGGGGGACCATAATATAAGAGGATTCATCATCTCGACCCTTCCAGATTCGAAATGGAGTGAAGCAAGGATGTGTTCTGGCTCCCACGCTTTTTGGCATCTTTTTTACCGCATTATTGAGGCGTGCATTTGGGACAGCAACTGAGGGGATATATCTCCGTTCGAGGTCAGATGGCAATCTTTTTAATCTGTCCAGGCTACGTGCAAGGACGAAGGTGCACACGAGATGCCTCAGGGATTTTCTGTTTGTGGATGATGCAGCCATTGTGGCACATTCAGAGGATGATCTGCAGATCCTGATGAATCGCTTTGCAAATGCTTGCAAAGAATTTGGGCTTACCATCAGTCTGAACAAAACACAAGTGATGGGATTGAATGTTGGAAATCCACCAAACATTAGTGTGTATGACCATCAGCTGCTGGCTGTAAATGAGTTTGAGTACCTAGGCTCACGTATCTCAAGCAATCATTCGCTGGATGCAGAATTAAACAAACGTATAGGAAAGGCCTCTGCTATGTTTGCAAATCTCACAAAGTGAGTCTGGTCAAACAAAAAGCTAACTGATAATACAAAAATGAAGGTTTATGAGTCTTGTGTCCTGAGCACATTACTGTACGGCTGCGAATCCTGGACTCTCTATGCTCCACAGGAAAAAAAGACTGAATATCTTCCATATACGCTGTCTGAGACGCATCCTTGGTATATTATGGCGAGACCTTGTCTCCAACGAGTGTGTGCTCACAAGAGCAAAAATACCATCAATGTATTGTATACTGAAGCAAAGACGTCTGCGCTGGCTGGGACATGTCTCCCGCATTGAGGATGGTCGTATTCCAAAAGATCTCCTATATGGTGAATTGGTGACTGGGAATAGACCTACAGGAAGGCCAAAGCTGCGCTATAAAGATGCATGCAAACGTGACCTAATAGATACCAACATAGGCACAGAGACATGGGAAAAATCAGCTGCAGATCGACTACTATGGAGACAGAAAGTGAGAGACGGACTGTCACATTTTGAAAGAAACCGAACACAAAGAGCTGTGGAGAGGAGGAACCGGAGAGTAAAACTGCCTCACAACGAGGGAGTATCTGCTTTTGTGTGTATCCTGTGTGGCAAAGACTGCCATTCCCGCATCGGACTTTACAGTCACAGCAGATGCTGTTCCCAAAGCCAGCGGCACATCTCCATAGTTCCCCGGGACTGACGGATGCCATTAGTTGGTGCAATGCTTGCCAGTTGGCCCGCTACCTCCTCACCTTAATTGGTCGGCGTCTGCGTCGGCATTGCGAAGGCACTTCGTAACTCCGTAGTGCTAGTTTCGATTTTGTGGGAAATATGACAGCAGACCGCCTTGCGTTCGATCCAACAATGGTATTGAGAGCCGACCGTTTAGAAACAGTGACAAACTACTGAAATCAGAACTTACTTAGTGAAATCACAAGGAATTCCAGAAAAAGCAAGTAGCTAACAAATGCTGGGGTTGATTCTGCAACGTCACGTAAAAGACACACATCTAAAAACATGTAATACGTCGAGGTACACTATTTTCTTCACTGGTGTCAGTTAAAGTATGTGAGTTTTAATCTATGTACGACCACATGATAACTATCCATTTTAAAATGTACAGTGCGTCCTTTAATATATGTTCCTTTCTTTTAAATATCTGTTCTGTTCTTTTACTTTCATTAGTGCTGACCTATAACTCTTAGTTAATTCTCAGACTACAGGTTCAATATTTATCCAGCAGTTGGCATTTCGATTAATGCTCGCCACCGTGTACGCCTAGCCAGCAGTTCGTAACTTCTGTGAAGAATTTGGAACGCAGAAGTTCTAGAGCGTGTTCTGTGGATTTGAGATTACTAAACTAGAGAGTATGGCTTTCGCCATTATCTCGAATTGTCTAGCAAATACTCTTGTAGCAGTCCGAAGGGGAAATAAGACGACGACGAAGCTTAGGCCAATTAAAAATCTTTGCCTCTTTGGGGATGGGGATCTAGAAGTTGTGACCCTCAGTAGTCAGTGAGTTGAGTTGAGTCAAGAATTGACATCACAGCACTCGGGCAGTCCCATGCATGCTCTTTCCTCACCTTCAGCAGCCAGCGCAGAGTTCACATACTGATGGTACGGTCTCAATCTGGTTACGTGCCCGTCTTACCTTTCCTCTGAGTGTAGTTAGCCGGCCAGACCCCCTCCCCCTCATTCTCTCCAGGCCATAATAATCTTCTTTCAATAGTCAATGAGCAAAGGGTCAATATTTACGCCAGTAGGGCATCGGGCATATGATGCTAGAGACCAGTCGGCACTTGGTGGATGCTGCTGTCAACATCACAATATCAGTCTTTTTAATTATATGCCATGCATATTCTAAGACTGCCTGCAAAAAAATCATTGCGATATAACAGGCAGTTTTGGAGAAAATGGCTTGCATGTGTGTTTATCTATTGTTGAACGAACCATACCAGCACATTACATGTTATGTACAGATTTAGGTTGCGGAGGTCGCCGAGTTGACCTGGGTGCCAAGGTCAAGGTCTTTACTTCCTTAGACATTACTTAATTCTTATTTATTAAGGCTGGATTGATCTAGTAGACAAGGTCAGTCTAAAACAAAAAAAGCGATATGGATTTGAACCCAGGACCTTTGGACAGAAAAGTGTCAAGCCATTTCACGGCTCTGGGACTAAGCCGGCATGCAAAGGTTTTAACCACTGTGACACCACGTCTTGCACCAAGATATAAGTTTTGCTGCCACATTGCGTTGTGGTTTACAGCTAGGTTTTGATATCTGTGCATTTCGGCCAACAAATCCGAGTTGAGAAAACCCCTAATAAATTACCTCTTACGACATGCTTGTTAGGAACATTGAGTTTGTTCTCCGCTCCTCCTCCCATTAAAACATAAAAAAATAAATAGGACCTCATAACCCGTACGGGGAGCTGTAATTAGTAATTACTTCTTTCGAAGACGGAGTGCTTCTGCCTGAAAGACAGGGAACCAACAGTGTGCACACAAAAAAGGCAGATATGTAGAGCACACAAAAATAAGATTCTGGAACAAGACTAAAATTTAGGGTACTTATCATGGAATTCACACCAACTCGCTTTCGCACAAGATCTCAGAGCCGTTCTCACGGGCTGTCCTATTTTATAGGGGTGTATGTGATGCCTCTCTTCTGTGTCTATACACAGCGTGACGAAAAGTGACTGATGTTCATTCGAAGTGGTCGATTCACTGGTCTCCCAGACATGGCAGCATACTGTCTTTTGTGAGAACGAGTGTTGTTTTCTGGAATGTGTTGTTGTGAGTAGCTTAGACGATGCAGGTGTTTGTGTACCCGGAAAAAGTACTGCAGGGGAAGTGCCTAAGGCGCGACGGTTAGTGAGTATCGAATCATTGATGTTTTTGTATTTTTAAGCTCGTTGACTGTAGCTATCGTCGATGGTGGATGTGGTTAAAAAATTCAAAACAAGCAAAACCTGACACCCCTTAAACATAAGAGAGTCCGTGGGAACGGTCTCGAGATTTTGTGCTCTAGCGATGTGGGGTGAATTCCATGTTTAGTACCCAATTCAGAAGTGGACGAAAAAAAAAAAAAAAACTTTCCGCTGGAGCCTACAGCCGGTAAACGCCAAGAAGAGGAGAGTAATTAGTCGACATCTGTGAGTGAGTGGCGTTCAACCCCGCCAGGACCGCACAATGAGCGATTAACACCCGGCGTCACAAAGTGCCCTCATTCGGATGAGAACCTCCCCAGCGCAAATCGCAAACCGTTAGGTTATATTAGGAACCCCGATCAACCTTGGTAGAGGGGCTTTAAAAAAAAGTGCGTCCCATTTTGGGACGGAGTTAATTAATTTGACACCTGTGATCATTTTACGTGGCTGAAAAGGGGAAGACCAGCCATGTGACTTCCGGTCGCTGTGTTGTGTGTGAGATTTTACACATCCGCCTCTGTTACACACTGATTGTTCGTTGTGGGTCCTCCCACCCCTTTAATTTTTTAGTACATTCATATCTCTAAACAGATCACCGAATAATCCGTTCATATTAAGTTTTCTTAGAGATGGCGGGTAATGGTTTTCAGGCATCGTCGTATGCCAACGACAGGCCACCGAGTTCAACGGGCAGTGGCGAAGCTGATGTGAACACCGACCCTGCTAGCAGCGGATTTTTCACTACAGACTTCAAGAAGTAAGCAGAGCTACCTTTGATTTGATTGCTAAACATTAGTGTTTAAATTATAAGTTATGATAGTTATATTTTGTTGGTATGACTTCCAGGGATGAGTCAACCTAGCACAAGTAACGGTAATGAATGAATGAATGGTTTACTAAGCGTTTCGTGGCTATTCTCCGAATAACGGTCCTAAATTATTCTTCTTCTCTTCTTCTTCACTTCCTCTTTTTACCGCTGTGGGTGTCGAGGGAGATATAAGGTTCTGTTTCTAGCTCTTCTGGCTGCCTCGACCATAGTCACATCGTGCTGTTGTAGAGTTTCTCTGATGTTATCCTTCCATATTGTACTTGGTCTACCCCATGCTCTATGTCCTTCTTCTCTTTCCATGTATGCTTTGTATGGTATGGTCACAAGGCATTCTCTCTAAGTTGGCAAACCATTTCACTTGCTGTCTTTGTATGTAATCCAGAATTGGTTCTGTGCCGTCTTGTTCTCTTATGATCTCATTCCCGATCTTATCTCTTATGGTCACTCCTACAGCCCTTCTCAGACATCTCATTTCCGTGGTTACTAATTTTCTTTTATGGTTTGTTGTGAGTGACCATGTCTGGCACTGGTAGCACAGAGTTGGAATAAATATGCTTTGAATAAGATGTCTCTTTGTGCTGATTGGGATTGTCTTATGCTGTAAGAGGGGGGCTAGCTGTCCCAATACTTGGTTTGCTTTACTGCATCTAATGTTAATTTCTTTATCCAATTTCCCATCTTCAGTAAATGTAGTTCCCAGATATTTAAACTCAGATGCCTGTTTATTGCCTTTGTATTCTATTGCTATGTTTAGATCTGTCTTCTTTTTTCCTATTGACATTACTTCTGTCTTTTCAGTGTTGATTCTCATATTATTTGTTTTACATTCTTCATTCATGGATGTTAGATGTTGTTGCAATTTCATGGCTGTATCTGCTATCAAGGCCTGGTCATCTGCAAAGAGTAATTCGTTGATCTTGCTAAGATCTTCATTCATGGGCTTGGCATTCTTGCATATACTGTCGATGTAGGTGATAAACAGCAGTGGTGATAAGACACACCCCTGTCTTACTCCAGATGTCACTGTGAAAGGATGAGATGTTCCCTGATTTATTCTAACTACACTTCTACAATCCCTGTATAAACTTTTGCACACTTCGATGAGGTGTTCGCTAACTCCATATCTTGCCATTACTTTCCATAATAATTGTCTGTCAACTCTGTCAAATGCCTTCTCCTGTTCTACGAATGCTACAAATAAGTTCTTATTGTATTCAATGTTCTTTTCTATTAACTGTTTTAGTGTGAAGATTGCATCTGTGCAGCTTCTATTTTTCCTAAATCCCATCTGTTCTTCTGCCAGCTGTGGTTCTATCACTGGTCTCAGTCTTGTTTCTATTATCTTGGCATACATTTTGCCAACATGTCTTAAAAGATAGATGCCTCGATATTGACCGCATTCTCGTTTGCTTCCTTTGTTCTTTCACAATGGTATAACTATTGCATGTTGCCAATCAATAGGGGCCGTTTGTTGTACCCATGCTGCATTGAATATTCTGTGAAGCCATCTGGTGCTGCTTTCACCTGCTGCTTGAATTATTTCTGTTGTTATATCAGCTCCTGGTGCTTTATATTTCGGAGACTGTTTAATGACTTTTTCTATTTCATCCATTAGTATGTGTGGTTCTAACACTGTTGCTCTGTGCTCTTCAGTTGTTCTTTCCTGATGATCTCCTAGAGGATTAAGGAGCTCATTGAAGTATTCCCTCCATCTTTCTGCTACCTCGGGTGTATCCATCAATGGCCTTCCTGCTTTATCATTAATTATTTCAGTGGGGTTGTAGCTCTCATCTCTTTTCCCGCATATTTTTAACTATTTTGAAAAATTTTCTGCTGGCTGTTTTCTCATTTTCTTCTAGTTACTCACCGAAACGTTCCCAGGATGCTTGTTTTGCTTTCTTAACACTCCTGTTGGTTTCTCTCCTTTGCAGTCTATAGTTTATATAATCTTCTTCTTTCTTTGATTTTATCCACTGTTTATATGTCTTTTTTCTTTTTAATTGCTTTTTTTACTTCTTCGCACCACCAAGGTGAATATTTGTTATTTCCCCGTCTGTTTCCACTCTTCCGTTTTCCACATAATTCTTCTGCAATACTAAGCATAGTGTTTTTATATATACTCCATTCTTCCTCAATATTGCCAACTACATATGGAAGTTGTTTGAATGCTGTCTCTACTTTCTGTTGTAACTGTTCTTTTACTCCTTCCTGTTTCAGATTTGCTATCTTGATGAGATCCTTGTTTTTCTTCAATTTCTTTCTGTGTTTCTTTAATGTAAGATGTTTTGCTGTTAACACAACTATTTTATGGTCAGTGTCACATAGACCATTAGGGATTGCTCTTGAATCAAGAATTCTCCTTCTTCCTTGAACTCTGGTAAGTATAAAGTCAATTTGGCTCTTGACGGGGACATCATTCCATTTGTACCAAGTGTAAAGTTGTGAATCTCTATGGTCAAAGAATGTGTTCATAATAAAAAGATTTTGCTGGCTGCATAGATCCAATATTCTTTGACCATTTCCATTTCCAGCACTGTTCTTAGCTGCATGTGGACCTAAAAACTGTTCGTATTCTCTTCTGTTATTTCCTACCCTCCCGTTGAAGTCACCCATTACATATAGTATGCTGCTTCCCTCAACTTTCTTTATCTCATCAGACAGATCGTCAAAGAATTCATCTTTCTGCTCTTCTGTATAATTATCGTTGCATGGTGCATATATCTGTATATATGTTTCAGCATGTTCTCCTCTTTTAATTTTCAAAGTAATAATTCTATCTGAGTGATAATGTATGTCTAATATGTAGTTAGATTGTCCGGATGTACCAGGAAACCCACTCCATTCTTCGATGTTTCTCCTCCTGCATATGTTAGTAAGTAGCCTCTGTGTATTTTCTTATTAATATTTCCCTTGCGTCTTATGTCAGCTAGCCCCATTAACTTGATTTTCCTTTTTTCCATCATTTCAATAATCTCTTTTGTTTTATTTCCCAGGCCAGCGGTGTTAAGTGTTGAATTTCGCTTTTCTGTCTCGTAGTCCCTTAACATTGCCATGGTCAGATACCGTTTGATCAGTCCGTTTATATCTCATTTTGATTTCTGTAGCGATAATAAATCCATTGCCGGCTTGCTAGGCCTGTCGCAACTTCACCAGCGCCCCGTTGGCCAGGACGTTTCGGGGTGACCCAGGGTGGCCTTCATGGCTACCGTAGCGGTCCCGTGGCACGAGGCCACACCTAGCAATCCCCTATTTTGTCCTGTTACCACCTCTCACGATGAGGACGTGGGGTTGGCCAAATTATTGAGGCCAAAAATATACCCTAATAGAGCCTCAGATGTCAATTACGAACCTCCGGCGACTTAAAATGCACACTTCCGGCGACTTCCGCCACAGCTACGCGTGGCGTGGATTGGGGCTGAACTAGATGGCTGGGACTCACGAGCAGCAGCTACCGCATCTCCTGCAGCTTCCTTCATTTTATTTGCTCGTGAGTCCCAGTCATCTAGTTTAGCCCCAATCCACGTCACGCATAGCGGCATGGGAGATACTCTCGGCGGTGGCGGTATAGTCCCCGGAAGTCCACAATTGACATGTGACTGAGGCCCTGTTAGTGTATATTTGTGGCCTCGATAATTTGGGACCGTTATTCGGAGGATAGCCAGCGTTTCTTTAGCCTTAGGTTTTACTAAGGTTTGGTTAGATAGATAGGTTGGTACTTAAGCTGATTTTTCAAACTCATTCTGTACTAGTAAAACCAGAACAGATGAATACACATTAAAAAGCTCTTTCCAACGGTACCTCATTCATGTCTGTATGTCAGTTATAAACTGAATATCCAAGTTTGTGTGGACAGATCGAATAAAGAAGAAAAAAAAAAGTTTAGCTAAACATGCTGCCCAAAAGTCTTTGAGGAGTGTTTAAAACTGCTTTAACTTACTAAGTATTGAACAAAACCCTAGAAACTATATGTTTTTGTGTTCGGGGCAACAAGATCTAACCGAATAAAAAGGAAATTTTATTACGTAACATCGGCTCATTATTATTCAAAATGGCCGCACATTACGATATTTATTACATAATAAGTCAATTTATGTGGTATAATCCCGACATCATCCCACTAGTTTTTTTGCAGCTTACAGAACAATCGATCTTGTGATCACATATGGCCTTGCCCTAGTTAAATTTCAGAATGGCAGCTAATTAATTGTTTAAACATTAATTTTTGTCGAACAAACGAAAGAAGAAGAAGAAGGTTTTTGATTTTTAAAATACAGTTTTGGGATAGAACAACCAACAAGTGTGAGAATAAGCCAAGACACATTTAGAAGTGCAGTGCGGGAACTAAAGTTTGCATACAAGTTGTTATATCTTAAGTCAGATTCATGGTATCCCAGATCACTTTAAATATTCCCATAGATTATGCAATATGATTGTTATAATTTTTTAAAAAGCACAATTAAAATATTCTTTGGATTTTAACCTAGCTGCAAGCACCCATTAAAGCACACAAGCTGTGGTGGATCAACACCTTATTGGCTGGAGGCTGCCTAGCTTGAGGTTGGCGGAAGCTGATCAGTGACATTTGAGAATGTCTCTCAGCATTGGAAGCAGTCCATGGTACCCTTGTCTATGCCAATTGATTGACTGGCACCATTTTATCTTTCCAGATGATAGTTTTATATTGCGCTCCGAGGAGGCATGGAACTCACAGCCCGTGGCAATGGCGAGTGTAACTAGCAAGATCTACCCACGTTATGAAAATTCTTCCACAATTATAGCATAGGATTTCAGGACTATTGTTGTCAACATTTTGTTTTTTGTCTGTTTCTTCTCAGACGCTCAGCTCTCATCCTTTTTGCACACATCTTTATATCGTAGTAGAGGTCATTTCTTCTCAGATGCTCAGCTCTCATCCTTTTTGCACACATCTTTATATCGTAGTAGAGGTCAGCCTCGACATTTTCTACCTATCTTTTAGTTCACCATAAAGGATGTTCTTAAGGGACTCTGCCATCCTCCATTCTCCAGGGGTGACTTAGCCACCTGAGCCTTCATAGACTTAACATTGAGAAGACTTAAAATGCCTACTCCTTCCAATACCACAGTGTTGCTGATCTTGTCCTGCCACCCTCAGTGTTTGTGATCTTGTCCTGTCACTTAATGCCAAGTATGCCAGTTGACAAGGACTTATAACTTGTAACTGCCGCCCCTTGATTTGTTTCTGATACCAGTTAAGACCGTGGATGACGTTCCTCCACTCCATAGTGGACAGTGTTGTAGACACCATGTGTTTTCTGATACTGATCACATTCATATAAAATTTTTAACTGGCACTAAATATTCAATAAGCCTCATGGTATAGAAAAGGGTCCTTTACTTATTTTTTGTTTACATCATCTGCCACAATTTGGGGGGTGGGGGGGAGGGGGCAGTCTCAGGAATAATACGGCAGGCTCCTACTTCAGTCAGATGGTTTAACTTTATTTCAGGCTCATAATATATACAATATTTTCAGATATGACGTTCCCCGTGTGGGTTCCGGGGCCCCATCATGGGGAAAACAAGAATAGATCCTCTGCCTACCCAAAAGCATGTCGTAAGAGTCGACTAATTGGGGAGCTTCCTTTGAAGTCGGAGTGCATCTGCCTGAGAGGCAAGGAACCAACATTCTGCATTCAAGTGAATCAGATCTGTAAAACTGATGCACACGCAACACTCAGGTTCTGGAGCAGGACTGCAGTTCAGAAGTGGACGAGCAACCACAAATTTCCACCAGAGTGTACAGCTGGTGAATGCAAAGAAGAAGAAGATATGACTTGTTTGTTTATTTGTTATTATGTTTTTAAAATATTCTATCATCAACAGACATGAAGATCTAAAATCCATGCTTGATAGCAACAAGGATAGCTTGAAACTGGAGGCTATGAAAAGGATTATTGGGGTGAGAAGGATTGTGTATAATTACTTTCTAACCAGATGCTTGATCTCAATATTTATCCCTATATTTTTTTGATGCTGCGGGTTTCGGTGCAAATACATTCTAGTTATATTGTTTTCAGGTCTTCTCAATGTGACTGCATACAGTATTTTAATTTTCCTACTTATAACAATGGGGCTGGAGAGGGTTTGGGGGGGGGGGGTGAGAAAAAAGTGATTGATGATATCAAAGATACAGTACTGGAATATTCCCAAATGGTATCAATAACTATGCAAGATAATGTGCAACAATGTATCCACATTATGTTTGGCAGCAAGGTAATCTGAGATCGAAAAAATGAAGTGGAAACTGAGTTTTATGTATACTGAGAAAAGACTGACAAAATGATAACAACTGATATAAACACAAAAACACCTCCAAAACATATCTTCTTAATTTTCTTCACATTTACTGGCTGTACACTCCAGTGAAAGGTTCTGGCTGTTCAACAACCTCTGGACTTTAGTCTTGTTCCAGTCCTTGAGTTTTGCATATACTGTGCTTTACAGATCTGGCTTATTTGTATGCAGACTGTTGGTTCTTTGCCTCTCAAGCAGATGCACTCCGACTTTGAAAGAAACCCATAATTAATCGACTCCTATGACATGCCTGTTAGGGAAGGACCCCACACCCCCAAAAAATGGGTGAAGTTCATCATGAGAACTGGCCTGACTGTGGCCTCCGCAAAGATGCAGTCACTAGAAGATGGAGCAGCTTTCCTATTAAAAAGCGATTCAACAAATGCCAGACAGCTTTTAGTTTTTGTGGTTGATTATTGCTACTGGTTTCTGTTTACCTACAATGGGCTTTCTGTATCCACTTTTTCTGAAAACTGCTACAGTTATTGTTTGTGTCTGATATAATGTTTTGTATTGTTTTTTTTCTGCAATTAACATAAAATGTTTATCTATTATCTTTGATTTTATTTGTGCCACTATCACTGACAAGGCACTAATAGCTTTTTTGTTTTTTTTAAAAATAAAAAACAAACACAAACTGAGGTCTTGAAAGCGTTCATTTGTCTCCACAAACATATCATTTTGATCTTTCTTTATTCATCCTACATCATTTACATTTTTCAGATGGTGGCAAAAGGGAAAGATGCATCTGATTTGTTTCCACCTGTTGTAAAGAATGTGGTTTCCAAGAATCTTGAGGTAACATTTGATAATTTACACTTGTAACAGAAAAATATTTCTTTGTGACTTAACATGACTTTGTACTTTTAACATTTTTTAAATTATTGCATTATTTCCATATGCATTTTTGCATCAGGTGTCCATGGAAATATTATTTTATTTTTATAATTTCAGGTGAAGAAACTTGTCTATGTCTATTTAACCAGATATGCAGAAGAGCAACAAGACCTTGCTCTTCTATCAATCAGCACATTCCAGCGGGCCTTAAAGGTAAGAATTTAAATGTAAGCTTTTTGTCTGGCCTTAATGGAATCATAAAGAGGATAAGATAACAGGAGACTGTCATTTGTAGATGCAATAGAGTAAGTATAAGTGTTCTGAAGTGAATTGTATCCCAGAGATGGCATGAATTATAACAATACTGAATGTGATAGGAGAGGATAATGAAATCAGGAGTAAGGCCGACACTTGTGTCAGTAAAGGATTTTATTGAGAAACGGCAAGAGGGATGGTTTAATCATGTGATAAATCTGCTTCCATACATAAACATCCGAAATGAAACAACATTAAATTTTAATACAGCACACCCAAGAAAGAAGCAGACTTCGCAAATGTTGCAATAATGGAATAGCATAGTTAACAAATGTACGTCATTTTTGTTTGGTCCACCCAAGATTAATTCATGTTGATATGCAGTTGCAGAACCAACCCCAGCATTTGTGTGTGTGACTGTATTTGTTTTTCTAGGCAAAGTTACGTCCAGTAGTTGCAGCAACAACAACAAAAAAACGAAACAAAAGAGTTCTGAATTAAAACACAGCAGATTAAATTCAGTTTGATTCATATTTTGTAAGAATTTATTTTCAATTCTTACACAGTTAACATTTCAAAAGAAAAAAAAAATAACTAGAAATCCTTTTATATCTTGAAAAATATTGAGTAATTGGTATATAATTTGCTATCATTATGGTGATTGTCTGCACTTGATAGGTTATGAACTTAATATTGCACTGGTCATTTTTTGTTTGTTAACCAGGACATTACTAGGTAACTCACTTTTAGGTTACACTGACTTGGGTTTTTGAGAGTTCAGATTCTGATGGCAACAGTACCAACATACAAGTGTATGAGCCACCATACCACCATGGTTTCCACAGCTAGTAGAATTTAGAAAGTGAACATAAGTGTTTGCTATAACTTTGAAGATCATTGTTCAATTATTTCAATATCTGTATAACGCTTGTATATACTATGGCAAAGGACTTTAATTGTTACTGCAGTTTAGTTGATCAGAATATATTCTTCTGCTCATTTCCTTTTTATTAAGGATCCTAACCAGTTAATCAGAGCCAGTGCACTAAGGGTCCTCTCAAGTATTCGAGTGTCTGTCATTGCTCCAATCATGATGCTTGCTATCAAGGAAGCTGTGATGGACATGTCACCTTATGTCAGAAAAACTGCTGCCCATGCCATTCCAAAGCTGTACAGGTTAGGAGAGAGAGTAAATTTGTTATGCTTGTGGTGACAGTTGTCTGCTAATAGTTTTGTAACATTATTGGTATTTAGGGTATACATGCCTGCATATGTTGATGTGTGTATATGCATGTGTTCACATGTGTGATTGAAGGTATATTTAGTTTTGTGCAGATGCTAATGTCGTTTGAAGTGATAAACCTTTACTTATTTATATCAGCATGCAGAACTCAGAGTAGTAAGTTCCCTTTCTCACTTTACACATTCACACATGAACATATGCACACGATCACACATGACACCCACCCAGACACAATGCAGGTTTGGCTATTAAATGTTTTTTTTTTGCAGACAATCAGCGTCTTAATACACACAGGAGCAGAATTTACACCACCGTATTGACTCCTTACATCAAACCTGCACATAGTATGTTATGAGAATGAACACCATGAAAACTGAGGTAATAAAAATAGACAGGAAACATAATAACATGAATCTTCATGGTTACAATACTACAATCAAACAAATATAAGAATTCAAATATCTAGAAAGCATATTTATGGAGGAGGGCAGACTCGATAGGATGGAGAGATATAAGCCCGATGGCAAGGCAAATGCTGTCACCTACCAGTTAGCATATAGACACACATTGACTCTTAAATGTCTCCCCTCTAGCAAAAAGCAAATGATTAATACCATCTTCATCCCTAATGTACGCTATCAGTGCCAAATAATAGGACACTAGAACAGAAAAGATCTACATGTGAAATGTGCTGTCTCCATAAGTTCACTAACAACACAAGAAGGGTCAGCGTTGCCAATACCAGCATTGGAGAGAAAGTTGGAATCAGACCATGTCTGGATTATAGTGACAGACAAAGAAAGAAATGGTTTGCCCATCTAGTGAGAATGCAGCCAGATCAAACTGCGATGATACTTTTTTACAGCAGAACATCTGGAAGGAAGCAAGGGGAAGACCAGGAAGAGATGAATAAATGTTGTAGCTGGAACCTGCAAAAAGATGAACAATTCCATCAACTAAGCCACCCAAGAACCACAAGGCAAATACAGAAAACCACATCACTGGGCTGCAACCTGGTATCAGTGAGACAACCAAAGAAGATGTTTTAAAAATGTGCATTCTATGTCTCAGATAAATTTTATATTTTATCCACAGCCTGGATCCAGAGACAAAGGATCAGCTGATTGAAGTACTCGATCGACTTTTAGGAGATAAGACTACAGTATGTATAGCATATATTATGTTTATTTTCTCTCTGTTAAAAATTATGAATTAATTGTTTCACATTAAGTATGTCGCTTTAAATGCCTCTTGTTGTTTTTGCATTCTCCAAGTAATTAAATAATTATGGTACGGTAATAGTGTTATAACCATGGAAAAGTGGGTGTCTGTGAAAGACTGTAGGAGTGACCAGAAGACATAAAATCAGAAATGAGGTCATTCTAGATAAGTCGACACAGAACCAATTCTAAATTACAGTCAAAGACAGTAAATCAAATGGTTTGCACACTCAGAGAGAATGCCTTCTGATGCTATGCCATACAAGGTATATACAAAAAGAAATGGATGTAGAGCAAGAGGTGGACCAAGAATGATGTGGGAAGATAACTTCAGAGAAACTCTACAGCACCATGATGTGTCTGGTTGAAGCAGCCAGAAGAGAACGAAGCAAGACCCTATGTCTCCCTCGAAACTCGCAGTGGTAAAAAAGGACGTAAAGTAGAAGAATAGGGTTGTGTGTTTATTTGTAGAAAAGCTGTCATATCTATGCTTTTTGGTCAACACATTTTACAGCAGTATTTGCTATCATCGTCATCGTCTGGCCTGCCCAATAAACCTAGCAAGTCATGGTTTGCCATATTACATAGTCACCAGGTCTTTGATCAGATTTTGTTCTTGTGCCAAGTGGTCATGCAATCTCAGTATTTTATCTTTGTGTCTTCCTTTTGCTTTTTCCCCCCCATCAGTTTACCAATTATCATTATATTTTAAAGTTTTCATCTCATCATAGCATGCCCTTACAATGACTGTCTGTTGTCTGATGTTTGGGATCATTTGACATTGGTTCTTGGGGGAACTGCTTCATTTGTTTTTATGTTTGCCTACAGTATTCTTTTACTGAAAGTTAAATTTAGTAGGAAAAAATGCCAGGGGAAATTGATGAACATTAAATGGGATTAATTCGAGAAAATTTAAAAAATAAAAAGAAATGGCTGGACAGTGGCTTGTATCATGTTATGAGACAAAGAAGATGGCAATGTACTGAAAGGAAATAGAAGAAGAAATATCACTGAACTGGCGATGAAATTGGAAACAAATGTCTTGGGGAAACAAGGATATTCAAGAGAAACCCTAAGACAGACATTGCAAAGAGAGGCCAAAGTTGAGGCAAGAAAAAGAATAACAAGGAACAGGGGGGTTTAAAAAAACAAAACAAGAAGGAAATGAAGCAACAGCGTGAGCATGAGGCAGAAGAAGAGGAAGAAAAAAATAATTAAACAGGTAGTTGGAAGTAAATTTTATTACTGACATCTAAGTACTGTGTTCTGTAGCAAAATTTTTCCTGTTGTTTGCCTGAATATAGCTGGTGGCAGGCAGTGCTATCCAAGCCTATGTTGAAATCTGCCCAGAACGTATGGACCTGATACACAAGAATTACAGAAAACTCTGCAACTTGCTGGTGGATGTGGAGGAGTGGGGTCAAGTGGTCATTCTCAACATGTTGACTCATTACTGCAGGACACAGTTTGTCTCTCCCAACCAGGATGTAAGCATTTAAAACAGTTATTTATATTTTTCTCTATCATCATTATCATTGTGTTTTCCTCTTTTACAATTTTTACAAAGAAATTTATAAAAAAAACTGTGACTTAAAAGCTTAACGAAATAGGAAAGCAGAACAATGTGCACAAAACAATGCAAATCAATGTTCTGGCCGGGGCCTTTCGTGATATAAACTAAAATACACAACAGTAATAAAGAGGAGAGTACTCTAACCATCAAGGGGTCGCGTGAGAAACTTAAAAAAAAAGAGGGTGGTGGAGGGGGGATGTGGAATGGATTAAGGAAGGCTTGATAAATAATCGTAAAAGTAATAGTGATAATATGTACCAGTAGTAGGAATAAAAGAGTAATAGAAATACAACTGATAATGATCCATAACTAAACTGTAAAGAGACAGAATAGCAAATATTAAGGAAAATAAAACTAAAGTAAACATAAACAATCATAACATAAAATTAAAAATAATGTGACAATAGTAAACATTTTTAGATGAAGATATGCTGGACATTAATGCCTACAGGACTTAAAACACCCAGACTATGAATTAGGCCATTTTCCAAAATGAGATGTGTGGTATCATCACCAGAGCAAGATTTTATAGCTGTGACTGATATATCATCTTTGCCTCTATGCTCAGAGCTGTTAAAATGGAGAGGGATTGGTTTAAGTGTCTTCTTTTCAATATCGGAGAGATGTTCCCGGAACCGATCAGCTAGCTTCCTGCCAGTTTTACCATTGTATGCCTTGATGCATCTTTTGCAGATTATGGCATAAACTACGATTCTGGATTCACAAGTTAAAGGTTCCCTAATTTTGAAAGAACTATTGGAGAAAGCGATCGATGAGGTCCGGACAGCGAATGGACATGTCCTGCATGTGGTGCTGGAGCATTCTATAGTTCCATTCTCTTTCTCCATTTTAACACCTCTGACCACAGAGGCAAAGATGATATAGCTGTCACAGCTATAAAATCTCACTCTGTTGATCATACCATACAGCTTTGTCTTCATTAAGGGTGGAACAGGCCAGATTGCATCTCATAGCAGTCAGTCTACAGTTGACGGTGTTAGAGTACATGCTCAGCATTTTAAGGTGCCAAGTTGCAGACACACATCTCCATGTTGCTTACACAGTTAAAAAATGAGGATACATAAAGTATATTGCATAATTTATTATATCTTATCAGATGCATACCAGAGACTTTACATCAACGGATAATGAAGAATTTAAATAATTTTTACCCCTTGTGCGTTCCGGGGCCCCAACATGGGAAAAACAAGAATGAACCTACTCCCTAGCCAAAGGCATGTCGTAAGAGTCGAATAATTGCGAGCTTTCTTCGAAATCAGAATGCATCTGCCTGAGAGGCAAGAAACGAACAGTCTGCGTACATGCTAGTCAGATTTGTAAAACAGATATGCACACAACACTTGGTTGTAGACGAAAAACCATAACTTTTTACCAGAGGTTGCAACCAATAAATAAGAAGAAGAAGAGAAATCCTTTTAACTGAAATACAAAAAAATCCTGTGCTGCTTTCTAGCTGTAACTCAACAAAATATGCCAGATAGTTTTTGTGTGTGTTTTTTTTTAAAATTACAAACGCAGAAGAAGAAGACAGTCTCTTGTTACTCTAAGTTAGTGTCCAGATGGTGACCTGTGACTGAGTAAATTTTTTTTTTCCTTTCAAATAATTAAATTTAGTTTCCTTCTTTTGCTGGTTGTGTAGCCTGTGTTAATGTCATATTGTTTTTCTATAGTGTCTCTTTTATTCCCTCCTTCCATCTCTTTCTTGATCTGCCTCTTGCATTGTAACCTGCTGTTCTCATGTAGTATAAACTGTAGCTTCTGGCTGATTTTGTTTGACTCTGACCAGGTGACCAAACCATTTGATAGTTTAATGTTCTGTGAAATCATTTATTGGTATTGTGTCAGTAATCAAATTGGTTTGTAAAAATAAATGTTGTTAAAATTGTGTTTAAAGAATTGCTGTGGTTAGTTGATTCTTTTTACTGTTGGATATTTTCTGGGATTCTTATCTCAGGACAAGCAGGATGAAAGTGAGCGCCCTTTCTATGAGAGCTCAGAGAAAGATTCAGATGATGATGAGGATGATGATGATGAGCATGAAGATGGGGATAAGAAAAAGAAGAATGAAAAGCAGTCTGCATACATAATGGATCCTGACCATAGACTACTTCTAAGGCAGTCAAAGCCATTGCTGAACAGCCGTAATGCTGCAGTATGTATTGCATTGTTTTTATGTCTGTTGTGTACTGTTTTTGGCGTCTGTTGAGTAATGCCAGGGTGCCTGGTTCGATTCCAGCTGCATGCGATTTGGCAGCATATGGTCTAGTTTTGGTTTTGACAGTTCAGCAAGCAATGGCAAATATATTCAGCAAAATATGCCTACAGAGACAACAGCCAAAAAAGATAGGGTTGGTTCTACAACGTCCTGTAAAGGATATGCAGCTAACTTTTTTCATGCTATTAATATCTTCAGAGTTTTCCAGATTGCTTATTGCTAATAATTCAGTTTACTTTCAAAATGTAGAATCATTTTATTTCGAAGACATTTTACTAAAGTGATTGACTTCATTTGGGACACATCTATGTGTGTGTGTGTGTTTATTTGTATGCTCGCTCGTGTGCGTGCATAAATGCATGCATGTGTGCAGTCTGCCTCAGCTCAAATAAAAGAGAGTAGGTGTGTTGATTGCACTACTTATGGATGCACTTATGTTGTCACTGCTTGTGACCACGTATCTGCCATAGTCACAACTGAAGCCAAGTGCCATAAATATTTGTTGTATTGATTTATCAACTTTTGTGTTAGATTATAGTAATCTGCATTCTCTATGATGAAATTACCGATTGATAGAAGATATCAAGGTCAGCCTCTACTGCGATGGAAAGGTGTGTGCAAGTAAGAAATTAAAATGAATTCCAGAGAAATTTGACTAAAAAGCTCAACAAAATGGGAAAGAGGAAAACGTGCACAAAACAACACAACGTAACGTTTCGGCCGGGCAGCCTTTTTCAAACACAAGTGAAATACACAAACGAGGAATGGAGAGTATGTAGATCTCTAAGGGGTGACGTGAGCGACGTTTAAAAAAATGTGATGCATAATAAATGAAATAAAATAAAATAAACGATGGCAAAAAAATATAGTCACAATACTGGGAATAAAAGAAATGCAAGTGTTAATGATACATAAATGATATTGATAAGAAATAGAATAAGGTAATAATATGAAATAAAATAAAATAATTAACATTTAAAATGTGATAAGATTAGAACTATTTAGATGAAGTTATGTTGGATATTGATACCTCTTGGACTAAGAACGCCAAGGCTGTGGATAAGGCGATTTTCCAAAGCGAGGCAGGTAGTATGATCGCCAGAGCAAGATTTTAATGCTGTGACAGATATGTCATCTTTACCGCTGTGGTCAGGGCTATTAAAATGAAGAGGGATCGGTTTGAGTGTCTTCTTTTCGATATCAGAGAGGTGTTCCCGAAAACGATCAGCTAGCTTCCTGCCAGTCTCCCCAATGTATCCCTTGCTGCATCGTTTGCAGATAATTGCATAAATTACGTTGCGGGATTCGCAAGTAAAAGGTTCCCTAATTTGAAAAGAACCATTAGGGAAACTGACCGAAGAAGTCTGGACAACAAAAGGACATGTCTTGCAGGTGCTGCGTGAGCACTGAGTAGTCCCAAAAGAAAGTGCTGTGTGGATTGGTGGGAGTCGGCTTCGGACAAGTATGTCTTTAAGGTTGCGATCTCGTCTGTAAACTAATCTAGGTTTCTCACTAAAGATAATCTTGGTGTCCGGATCAGAGCGGAGGATGTCCAAATGATGAAAGAATACTTTGGAAGCAACCACATTGTTAGGGTGAAAAGTCAAGATCAATTTAGGTCCTTCATTGATGCAGTTACGTTTGGTAAGAAAAGCATCTCTCCTGGTGATTGCTAAAACTTTGTTTAGAGCCCCTTGTAGAATGTGTTCCGGATAGAAACGGGCACGGAAGAATTCAAGAAGTTCAACTGATTTATCAAAGAAGTCAGAATCATCAGAGCACAACCTGCGCAATCGAAGAAGCTGTGAATATGGAATAGAGTTTTTACACGGTAGGGGGTGAGAAGACGTATAGAGGAGATAACTGTGAGAATCCGTGGGTTTGTAGTAGGCTGTGGTTTTCAGACACGGAAAATCTTTATAATCGTGATGTCAAGAAAGTTAACTGAAGTGGTGGAGATCAGTGAGGTGAATTTGATAGCCGGATTGAAATTGTTGATGTAAGTAATAAATTGGTCAAGCTCAACCATGGACATTTCGGTGATACCAACGCCATCATCTATGTATCTCCTACACACCTCCGGAAACTTGCCCGGGTATGATAAACTGACCTCGTATTCCAGGTGGCCCATAAAGAGGCATGCGTAACTAGGACCCATCTTGGTGCCCATCGCGACCCCACTGATCTGGTCAAAATACTCACCATTGAACTCAAAAGAGTTAAGGGTCAGTACCAGTTCGGCAAGGCGTACAAGAACTGAAGTAGGGATGATCGGGTTGGACCTTCCGTCCAAAAAGAACTGGAGTGCTCTAAGACCATCAGAGTGAGGGATAGACGTATAGAGGGAGCATACGTCTATCAGGAAAAGATGATAGGTTTTACCGGGAAGTAATCTGATGGATTCGAAAATGTTGAGGGCATGGTTGGTGTCCTTGACAAATGAAGGGAGACTGGTGACAATCAGTTGGAAAATACTATCTAAAAATTCAGAAAGATACATCGTGGGACAGGAGCATGCAGATTCAATAGGACGTCCAGGGTTGTTGGGCTTATGGATCTTAGGCAGCAAGTACATACACGGTTTGCCAAGTTGGCTGTCAAAAACACGCATATTGTTGGCCTGCTTAGGAAGAGTACCCTGTGAAATAAATGATTGTAACGTGTCCTTGACTTTCTTATTGTTGGAGACTGTGGGGTCGTCCCTTCTGGCGGAATAGAAAACAGGGTTTCCGAGTTGGGTGCTGGCTTCCTCAATATAAAGATCTTTCCTCCAAGTAAGAAATTAATAATACAGATATTGAGATGGTTTCATGGAAACAGGAGGCCATAGGTCCATTTGAAAACTAGTCAGTAAAACATGCCAGTTCCAGCAAAATCATGAAGCTCGAACTCGCAAAGTAAAGGCTTAAGGCAGCTGTCAGATGTGCCAACACTTACAATCCCAGACCAGAATTGCAACTCACTATTGATGTAAGCAGTCACTTGTGAATGCTGGCATTACACACATGATACTTCATAAGTACACGCCATTCCAATTCCAAACACAGTTGGCTACATGCCATTTTTAATTTGGTTTACAACACAAGCCGTAACTGGCGCACGCAAACACTCACACACACACACAAACACGCACACAGGCAGTGTCACATCAAGCACTCAGCCCAGGAGCTGTGAAATTGAACTATATGCCATATTGGACCAGCAGTCCATAGCAGATAGGTAAGGACTGAGCATCTGAAAAGACACATGTCATTTACATGTGATGGCTAACAATGGTCCTGACATCTCCTGCACTTATTGTGGAAGATTCATCTTTTCTTGAGCTAGTCTCGCTAGCCACACTCCCTATCACCATGGGATGTGATTCCCATAATTCCTTATAGTACAGTGATACTCTTTCATCTGGAAAGATGGAAAAGTGCCAACCACATGACACATGACACATTTTATTATTTCTTGTGTTCCAAAATTTGGGGCTTTTGAAGACAAAACATCAACTACTTTATTTAAATGATCTCTTCAAACATCAACTTCCCATTGAAGTAATCCTATCATGCATTAATTCATTTAAATAATCACAATAAATGTCAACTCACCATTTATGTGTTTCCATGAAACATTAACTCCATTGTGTGTGAGATACCATGGGTAATGCTTTCAAAGCCTTGGTGCATTCTCTTGCTTTACTACTAGGCATAGATCCCCTTATAGAATAACACACACACACACACAAAACCCACATGTGTTAGAAATGACGAGTTGGAAATAAATCTGGTTAAATTATTTCTCGTAATAAGTTTGTATTTTTATCAATAACACCCTGTCATGTTGATTGAGTACCTTTATTAAATGGAAAGTTAATGTGTTTTGTGTTACTTTTTTAATGTATGAAAATAATATAATACTTAATAATATATAAACATTATTAAAAATCGGTAACAGGTTGTTATGGCGGTTGCTCAGTTATACCATCACTGCGCTCCAAAGTCTGAAGTTGGCACTGTGGCCAGAAGTCTCATCCGTCTTTTGAGATGTCACAGGTATTTATTTCTGTGTCGAGATTTTCTGTACATGCTAGTGTTTGTACCAGCACGTGTATTTTTATTTGTTTATATGTGTAATGTTGAGCAGCAAGACAATTATTTTTTTTTTCCTCTTCTCTAGTCCTGTATTGCTTTTCAGCATCAGGTTTTGAAGAACCACCATGGAGGGCCTTGGAATGTGCTACATAGATACTGGTATTTACAGCCTCAGATATTTCATCTATCCATCCCTTGAGTGGTCGACCTCTAGTTCTGCTTCCATTATGTCTAAGTGACAGGGCTATCTGTGGTGCACTGTCTGATGGTAGTCTTGAGTTGAGTTGAGTCAAGAATTGACATCACAGCACTTGGGACATTCCCATGTGTGCTCCATCATCATCTTAAGCAGCCAGCACAGAGTTCCAGTACTTATGGTACCGGTCACAATCTGGTTTGGTAGTCTTGACTTATGTCCAAACCATTTGATCTGTTGTCTGTTGATGTAAGTGGTCCTTTTCTGTAAGTATCAGTCCGGCTTGCTGGGCCTGTCTAGTTTAAGGGAGCATTTAACAAGATGGATCACATCCCATCCAACGAGCCAGAACTTCACTAGCCAGAGAGCTTCTTTTGACCATTCTATATTTTTAGACAATTTTATTTTAATTATTTTGTGTATTGAACTCTTTAAAAAAAAATAATAAAGATTTTTTTTGAGACAACAGTATCATACACTACTAGAATTGTGTAGTTTTTTTTAAAAAGATCTTGTCTACATGTGGTGGGAATTAAATGAACAAAATATATTATGAGAAAAGATAGTTTTACAGTGACTCAATGAGTATGCTTAGTAAGATAGAGATGGGCTGAGTCTGAAGACAGTAGCTGGTGTCTCACATCTGGAAAAAAAAGATCAGTTTCATTTTCTTGTCAGGATATCCAGATGTATAAGGAAATGAGCAGATAGATAGACCCACAGGTAAGGCTACTATGCAGGGCAGACAAGCAGTGGACCCGACTCATATAATGAATGCTCTGCTAGAAGTCAGACGATTGCTGGAAGTGCTGGAACCATGATGAGACTGCAAGAACAAAAAGTTTAAAGGGACATGGCCAGACAAAAGCACTCTGCAGGAAACTTAAGAAGATTAATAAACCAGCACAGGACTGGTGCCGTCAGCTGCTACACGCTGTGGGATCTACTGAGGAGGGGATTCGATCACTTATGGACTTATGGTTTAATATGCAGTGGGGACGATCTGTCCAATAATTGTTTTGTTGACGCTAACTTAGACTACTTAAAAAAATAATTTTTTATGTCTTCCATGAATTGGCCAGATTTTTTAAAATTTTGCACACATGTAATAATATATTCATTTTCAGTTTAAAATGTCCTGTGTATTTCAGGGAGATTCAGTATGTGGTGCTCAGCAACATAGCTTCAATGACCAGCAAAAGAAGAGTAAGTGTATGTAAGGTAGTCACATCTATTGAGATGAACTGTCTTGACAAAGATAGGAAGTAAGCTGTAGTTTGAGGAGTGTGAAAGGAGAGCTACAGCAGAAGGGAAGTTTTACAACTGATTTTCCTGCAGGGCATTAGGTTGGAGCCTACTGACAATGTAATAGATGATGCTTGGGGAATAAACGTTGTCAACCTAGGTCTAAGTCATGCTGTATTTTTTTGCTGTGCTGGTTCATGATATAAAATGTAAAAAGTGATGGTCCATTTACATGTGAATTGCTCATTTGGCATATGAGGCTAGACTCATATTTTAAGACCAATCGTCATTCAGTGGGTGATGCGGTCAGCATCACGGTGGCCACCGTTACGTCCTAGGACTTTACCTGGTGCTTCATTGACCTGGAAGCCAGGTCACGTATAAAAAAAAAATCCAGTTCTACGTGAATTTAAACCCACAACTTTCATTCAGATCTGCAGTCAAGCGTCAACACCATGGCAGCTCCTAATCACAAGACAGTTGCACCCTAATATATCTTTCCACAATTGAGAAGTGTCACTACTGGTTTTGCTTAGTCTAATGATCTCTGAAAACACAGCTCTCAACTTCACTGCAATAGATACAAGCCCATTCCAGGACTGAAACCGCCAAAACATCCAACATAAGTTAAAACCTATTATTCCAGAGGATTCACTAATTTTTTTTTTAACCCTGTATGCAGACAAAATGAACAAAAAAATCTAGACCAATAGCAGAAATAATTGGCAAGGTTTCACATTGTCACACTAACATTCCACATTGTCACATTAACATTCCACATTGTCACATTAACATTCCACATTGTCACTTTAACATTCCACATTGACACACTGTATCATTATGAGCAGTAGAAGACTGGCCAGTAGTATATCCATTCTCCCACCTAAAGGACAAATATAAGGAGTTAGGAGAAAGAATAAGGAAAACAAAGATTTAACTGTGTAGACTGAAGAATCATTGTCTGTCAGTAATCTATGCCTATAATGATCGGACATGAGAGGGTAATATAATAGAACGTTACCAGTTGCTATACAAGCTTTGCTTATATTACATATGTATTGTCTTTTATTTGTGATTCTTGTACTGTGCTTTTCACATAATTGTTTACTCTGGTTGTTTAATGTTTGCAGGGAATCTTTGAGCCATATTTGAAATCATTCTATGTTAGATCTAGTGACCCTCTGCATGTGAAGCTCTTGAAAGTAAGTATTCATTCATTATTATTTGCAGTTTCATAGCTTTTAAATTATATACTAACAACACTTGCACACACTTGAGTGACTTTAGTAGAAGTAATTCACTCCCAAGTGCTTTGGGGTTATTTTATTGAAGAATGAGAATGTTTTGGTTTAGTGGATATAAAACAGCATTAGGTTTACGTTTAAGTCATTCTAATTGAATGTCAGAAACTGGGAAGACTAACCTTAGCCTTGTTCCAGAACCTGAGTGTTGCATGCACACCTGTTTTACAGTTCTGACTTATATGCAGATTGTTGGTTCCTTGCCTCCCAGGCAGATGCACTCTCTTTGAAAGAAGCCTCCAGTTAGTCCTTTTATGATAGGCTTGTTGGGGAGGCAGTGGGTCTATTCTTGTTCTCCCCACAGTGGGGTCTAAGAACCCACACACAGAAAGAGAGTACTAAAATGTTATGTTGGACCTGTTTCTTTAGTGTGGCAAATCTTGACATTTGAGTGCAGAAATCTGGAATTGCTTTGATGCATTAGTGGTGTAGATGTGAAGAAAGTGTTTCTGCCTGGACAGGCAAGGTAAATATAAATTTCCCATGTGGGTTCCGAAGCTCCATTATTAAGAACAAAGAATAGACCCACAGCCCCACTAACAAGCATGTCATACTAGACAAATTAGGGGTGTTTCCTTCAGAGTCAGAGTGCATATGCTGGAGAGGCGAGGAACCAACAGTCTGCATACAAGTTAGCCTAGATCTGTAAAATGGATGTGCATGCAAAACTCTGGTTCTGGATTAAGACCAAGGTTAAGAAGTGGTCAAAAACCAGAACTTTCTGCTGGAGTTTGCAACTGGTGAACGCTAACAAGAGTAAATAATAGTTACCTGGAAGAAAAAAAAAAACGAAAAAAAACATTATACACTATTAAAAGGAAGGGACAAAGAGTGTATTTTAGTCATGTAAATAAACAAGAATTTTTTATTTTTTATTTAGCAGCACTGTTTTTAGATTAAGTTGTTCTAGAATCCCATATTTTGTGTTTCAATAAATAAAATGTGTATGTATTTCACAGCTGGAAATCCTGACAAGTCTGGCTACTGAGACAAACATTTCAACAATTCTCAGAGAGTTCCAGGTAAGGAATGTGATTTCTGTCAGCACTTGTCATCTTTCAGTAAACCAGTGTCCCCATGGAAGTATACTGGCTAGACAGACACCCAATGCTCTAAGAGCCTAGGGTTAAAATCCACTTCAGGGCCGATGTTTTTTCAAAACTGACCTTGGCTCCCAAGTTGACTCAGCCTAAAACGGATCCCATGATATGTCCTGGGATGTAAAAGTCACCAGAAGATGTTGATCACATCGTCCATCGAATGCTGATTTTCTATCAAAATGTGAATCTAACATCATATTGTTGATCAAAAAGGCATCAATTGAGTCCTTTACTAAAAATATTTTTAATTTCTTTTATTTAGCTTTTAAGATATATACCTTCTGTATTTTTTAAGGCTTCGTTAATCCTCCATGTGACCTTTAGTTCATTAATACATTTCAATCTATTCCAGACCTATGTAACCAGTTCTGATAAGGAGTTTGCAGCTGCTACAATTCAAGCAATTGGTCGCTGTGCCAGCAGCATTGCAGAGGTTACTGATGCCTGCCTTAATGGTCTTGTCAGGCTGATGTCAAACAGAGATGGTCAGTGCCCTAGTATTTTATAGTTTACATTTGCTGTTGTCTAGGGGATGATGTGTCTAGTGAATGCTCTTAGCACACATTCTTAAGATGACATAACTGGGACAAGCCAAAACCGACTTCAAAGAACGATACAGTTTATTGACATCTCATCACTTACATAAAAGTCCTGTCCGTGTCCTAATTTACAGCTTACACACACCACAGTTATCAGACTCTAACATGCCGGCTTCTCACACAATCATCCACCAGAGTTCGCACAGATGGATCTGGTTGTTACCACCTACTTCACACAGACTGGCCTGGCTGGACTTGGCTTCGATGGATGTTGTTGGCTGGTCTTCCTCTCTCAACAGTCAGTCTCACGTTGTCATTCTCCTGAACACTCTCGCGGCCTTTTGCTCTGACGGTCAACACATACTAACTCATACTAACTGGGTTCTGAACTTATACCCAGTGTTCGTTCCACGTGGCAACACGTGGGTGTTCTTGGGTTCCACGTGGGGTGGTCCTTTAAGCCAAATAGATTTCAAAAGGCTAAGTTGCCACATTTTTGTGTAGGGGTCATGGCATACGCGAGTCACCTGATACATATATTTTTTAGACATCAGGAAATATATTCCATTCAATTCTTCACCCTGTTCATGTTTATTAATTGCTTTTATCATGTACTTCAATATCATGTACTTCAATATGTTGTGAGAAAATGTAGATACAAAAATACAAATGAATTTATTAGTTACCTGTGTGAAGCTGTGCTTCTCATAAACTGAAATATTAAGTGCTGTAGTGGTGTTTACAAAACAGGATGTTGTTTCTGGAAGGAGAGGCAGGGATTGGCGAGCTTTATGATGGACAGAATATCAAGGAGGAAATAGAAACAAAAAATCTTTAAACAGAAAATGAAAAGCATTAATTTTACCTTTTACACACAAGGGATTTGAAGACACATACATGATTTAGCTTTTTTGTACTATTTTGTTTCTCTTGCATATTTTACTGCAGCTCGATGTTTCTCTTTTACAGAGGCTGTTGTGGCTGAGAGTGTTGTGGTGATAAAGAAACTGCTTCAGATGAGGGTATGTATACATATTCTTTTTTTTATGTGACTAGAGCTTTTTTTTTTATAGTTTTGTGTGTGTGTGGCAAATTAGAAAAAAAAAAACCGATGTTTAGTTTGGCTTATTGTAGCTCTTTTTTTTTGTTCAGCATATCAGTATTATACCAAAAAATTAGTTACTTGTGTCATTATTTCTTTTTTGTTTTGTTTTGATTGTCATTATTGTTTGCCAGCACAGGTGTATCATCTTAACATCCTGCCTAATTTGTATTTATATTTTTGTTTACTTGACCCTTTCCGCTTTTAGATTTTCTTGTTATCTGCTTTTAGTTGTTCTTGTTATTCATGCCTTTCTTTGCCTTACCACAATTCATCCCAGTTCATCTGTGTATTGTAATTTCATCATAGTGTTAAACACAGCCAACATGGCTAACCAGGCTTAGCTTCCTTCTTGGTCACATTAACTGGCTGTCAACTCCTGAGAAAAGATCTGGTTGCTTAGTTGATTCTGGAGTCTTGTTCCAAAACCTGGGTTTTGCGTGTGCATCTGTTTTATAATCTGGTAATCCTAGTTTCAGCTTCATAGCAAACGGGTCACCCCACAGATGCTCCGCTCTGTTTTATAAGTCTTGCCTATGTGTATGCAGACTGTTAGTTCCTCGCCTCTCAGGCAGAGACTTTGAAAGAAACAGCTGTAATTAGTCGATTCTTACGACATGCTTTTTAGGGAGACGGTGGGTTTATTCTTGGCTTTCCCCACATTCAGGTCCAAAAATATACACTGGGTGTATCTCAGTTAAAAAATTAATTCACATACAGAATTTTTAAAATAATTCTGTTGTATGCACCAGACAGGATACAACGAAAGATGCCAGGCATTAAATTGTGCTATCTGTAGTTTGTGTTTCCTTTGTTCAAATGTTCAACATTCTCATTAAGCATAAAATTAGTATTTCCTGGACCAGTTCTAAGACAGCCAGTGTTTATTATGTTTTCTAATTTGCTAAATATTTGTCAGCTTTATTATTATCTACATTTTTTACAATTCAGTCACCTTAGTGAGATATATATCTATTTATATTTGGAGGACTGCTTTTGGATAGCAGCTATAGAGCTCTTGCAGTGATGATTTCTGAAACAGTGTTAATTATATTACATTTTCATCGACTTTTCACTCTTCCTGGGATCAGGTATTGCATTTATTCCATTCTAATGTTGCCAGCGAGTACCTGCTTTATCTGATATTGTTTCTCTTCTTCAGCCTCACACTGCAGATTCAGAGGTTACAATTTTGTTTGTCCACATAATGCACAATAGTAACAAATAACCAACACAAGGATGAGGGAAAGGGAAGCATTAATATTTATACTATGTATAGGGTTGCTGGATGTCAGACTGAAAGATGGGATACAAATACATATTGATTTGGTTTCTTAGTTTATCCTTGATTATAATAAGCATGCAGATGTATGTATTAAGGTAATAATTAATGGTGTGTGAACTAAAACATTACATCTCCCCCCGACACTTCGATGAGGTACAAGGTGGAAGAGAAGAAGAAGAAGAAGAACTAAATCTCACTCAATAGCAAAATAATTTCTGTAGGTACTGTGTTCTTTAGATTCATTCTTTTACTTAATCCCTAATCCGAATTGCATTTGTGCACATGATGGTATTGGCTGTGCTGAATTAACTTTGAAAATTGCTAACATTGCTATTGTCTGCACTGCTCTGCTCACAGTATGTGTTGATTTCATGATCTTTGAGCACTTACCAGATATCTTCATCTGGCCTGGTAACTGTGCAAGTCTTCTTATTATACTGTTCATTTCCCGGTGAAGTATATTTATGCAGACAACCGACTCAATACTGACACGTTATTTACATTCTGAGTTATTTTAGATTCCACCTTGTACTTAATTCTACAACCCCAGTTTAAATATGAATTGTATGTGTGCACATGATCTTGTGCTTAGTTTAACTGGTGGTTGTACTTAATTAATTTTGAAAATGAGGAGAACATTGCTGCTGTCTGCGTCACTTTGCTCATAGTATCAATTACCAGATTTGTTAATCTGGCCTGACAGCCATAATCTTTAAGGAAATAACCAAATACGTTCATCTGACCTGACAGCCCTAATCTTCTTGCAGTTACCAAATGTGTTCATCTGACCTGACCGCCATAATCTTCTGGCAATTACCAAATGTATTCATCTGACCTGACAGCCATAATCTTCTAGCAATTACCAAATATGTTCATCTGACCTGACAGCTATAATCTTTGAGCAATTACCAAATGTGTTCATCTGACCTGACAGCCATAATCTTCTAGCATTATTACCAAATACGTTCATCTGACCTGACAAGTGTGTGTCTTTTTATTGTATCTTTCATTTCCCAGTAAAGTCTTCTTCATAGTGTTCACTAGCTGTAAACTCTGGCATCAAATGTTCTGGTTGTTCATCTACTGGTTGTTCATCTACTTCTAGACTTAAATCTTGTACCAGAACTTAAATTCTGTCTACACATTCGTTTTACAGATCTGGCTTACTTGTATGCAGATTGTTGGTTCATATCACCCCCAGGCAGATGCGCTGCAGTTTTGAAGGAAGAATCTCTAATTAGTCTGCTTTTACGACATGCTTTTTAGGGAGGCAGGGGGTTTTTTCTCTCCCAAAATAGGGCCCTGGAACCCTCATAGGGATCCTGGTTGTTTTTAAGCATTCAACAGAGTCATGATTAACACTTGGTAGATTTCTTTATGATAGGTTCGCTTTTTCAACTAGATCAATATTACAAAGAGACTGGCTACTCCTCTTATGTATCAATCAACATTACATGTATGGTTGGCTATTTCTCATCCATGTTAATCAACATTTCATATAGGATTGGTTATACCCGTTCTGTTTACCCATCAGTGATGGCCCTCAGTAGAAAAACATATAAAATTACAGCATGTGAGATGAGATGTGTAAGAAATGTGGCAGAAAAAACAAGAAGAGACAGAGACATCGGCGAAGAACTAAGAGCAAAAGCAGGCACTTTATCACTGAATGATTTCATAGAACATCAAAGAATGAAATGGTTTGGTCATCTGGTCACAATGGAACAAACTCAGCCAGCAGCTAGAGTGAAATACATGAGAACAGCAGGCTACAAGACAAGAGGCCAACTAAGAAAGAGATGGGTGGAGGAAGTAAAAGAGACACTACAGAAACCCAGTAGGACATTAACACAAGCTACACAATTAGCAAAAGACAGGAAACTATATCTAACTCCTCTGTACTTTGCTATGTGGTATAAGCCATAGGACAAAAGAAGACAATTCTTAATTTACATATTTATGCTAATATAATTTATTTGACTTTACAATTTGGGTATGATAAATTATGGTTTGATGTTTTATTTCTCTGGTTTTATTGCTTGCATGGGAATGAAAAAGAATGTAAATACCCACTCACATTAAGCCTGCAGGTGGCTAAATCTGTATGTTTTCTTCTTTCTCATATCAGTTAACAGCATCAGTAAATCAGTTATTTAAAAAAAAAATATACATTTACAAAATCTAACCAATGAAAGTTTCCATCTTCTAAATTGCTTTGTACTGCTTGCACGTGGTAAATTTTCCCCTAAAATAATTTGTTTTAATATTAATAATGGCTTTCAGTCTTTAACTAGAAGCCAAGGCAATGAAAGCTCTGTTAATAGCATGATGTTTTTACACAGGATTAATGTTTAAAGTGATAAAAAAGTGTCAGAACTGCTCCACTCAGTTAACTTATTACTTAGTGGCTACTGCTATAATATACTGAACTCTAAAAACCAGTACCACAACAGTACCATTGTTCTCAGACAAATTTGTTGCTCTGTGTATGCAATAGCAGATGCCGTTGATGGTCCTCCTATTCTTGTAAACTTTTGGGGGCATACTAGACGTCTTCCCAGCATGTACAGTTATGCAATATGGTTTGAAGAAATTTTCAGGCATTGATTGGAAGGCAGCTGTTTTTGTGTGTAAAGGAAGTGTGTAGATTCACATCAGTATCTGAGTATTTATTAACTCATTAATCACCACTTTGACAGTTCTGACAACACCAAGCTTCATGCTGTTGACATATTAAAATAATGCAGGGTCTCATTAGTTTTTTTGGTTTTCAAAGATTAAAAAAAAAAAAAAAAAACCTGCAATTAAAGATATGACAGAATACAGTTGAAACTGAAGTCACATTTCTGGTTCAACGGCCTAAAGTGATGGTACAGTAGAATAGATTCAGAATACCAAGGACCGAGATCTGCAAAGAGAGACATTAGTGCCTACGCTGCCTGGCAGGGTACATGATGATGATAATCTAGTTAAAAATGACTGAATTAAATAAGTTACAGGGTTTAGTCTGATAGTTAAATGGTAAATTGTAAAGTGTATGAGAAAACATCATCATCATTATTATGTTAATTTCCATATGGGTTCAGGGGCTCTATTTTGAGACAAATTGGGGAGGGGAGGGGGACCACCAGACCCACTTTACCCTTTCTGAATGATAGAAATATAAATGTGTTAATTATCTCCTAGAGCTGGACACTCATAACCCATCTAGATTGGATGACAGATTACTTCATAACCCCTCCAGACTGGATGACAGGTTACTTCATAGCCCAACCAGATTGGATGACAGGTTAATTCATAACCCAACCAAATTGGATGACAGGTTACTTCATAGCCCAACCAGATCGGATGACAGGTTAATTCATAACCCAACCTGATTGGATGACAGGTTACTTCATAACACCACCAGATTGGATGACAGGTTACTTCATAGCCCAACCAGATTGGATGACAGGTTACTTCATAACCCATCCAGATTGGATGACAGGTTACTTCATAACCCATCCAGACTGAATGACAGGTTACTTCATAGCCCATCCAGATTGGATGACAGGTTACTTTGTAACCATCAGGTGCCTCAGTATAACTGTTGTCCGGTTGAACGGGGTTTCTAGGATTTGTGTCTGTTGTATTCTAATTCAGAATAAATACTGGAGGGGGAACAGTAAAAAACAGCACCCCCCCCCCCTCCCCTAAAGATTACTTGTAAGAGCGTAGACAAAGCAGACACTCTGGAATGAGCTGTTGTTTGCGTCTGTTTAGGTGCATGTTAAAAGACATTTATGGTGTTCAGAGTCTGAAAATCTGATCTGGTCTTTTCTTATCAGAGGGTTTCATTTTTGTTGCATCTGCCATCCTTAGTTGTTGCTGCCATTCTTAGTTGTCGCTGCCATTCTTAGTTGTTGCTGCCATCCTTAGTTGTCGCTGCCATCCTTAGTTGTTGCTGCCATCCTTAGTTGTTGCTGCCATCCTTAGTTGTCGCTGCCATCCTTAGTTGTCGCATTGTTGCTGCCATTCTTAGTTGTTGCTGCCATCCTTAGTTGTTGCTTCCCTCCTTAGTTGTCGCTGCCATCCTTAGTTGTCGCTGCCATCCTTAGTTGTCGCTGCCATCCTTAGTTGTCGCTGCTATCCTTAGTTGTTGCTGCCATCAATGATCTGCAGAAAATAATCCAACCTTCAGCAGATTTTCTGAAAAACTTAGAAATAAGGAGTAAGAGAGGGAGCCAAACAGACGTTGATATTGGGGAGGTGAGAGAAAGTTATGGGAAAACAAAAAGATACGTAAACAGATATGTAAAATCAGAGATCTCCATGTGGGTGCTGGGGACCTATTTTGGTGGTGGTGGTGGTTGGAGAGGGGGGGGGGATGCTCACTGCCCCACTGCCTCCGCATAAGAAGGCAAAAGGCAGCTAACTAGGGGTTTGTTGAAATCGAATGTGTTGGGCTGAAAGTTTGATGATATCAGAGCTTTGCCATAAATCACATAACAGTGTTTCAACAGCCCTTTTGAGATCAGACACAGAAGAACAGCAGATAAATCAGATAGATGTCAATTGAGTGAGAAAGAAAGGAGGAGGAGGGAAGGAGTGGTATGTAGTATCAGAGATATAGGAATGGAGAGAAGTAGAGACATATATGCCTACAAGCACAGGCACACAGACAAAGTAAACTGGAACTGACTTGTTGTTTTTGTTATGGTCTTTTCTAAATATTTTCACAGCCATCAGAACATAAGGACATCATTACTTACATGGCTAAAATGGTGGACAAAATCACAGTACCAATGGCTCGTGCCAGCATTCTTTGGCTGATTGGAGAGTACAGCGAGAGGGTGCCCAAAATTGCCCCAGATGTTTTGAGGAAGATGGCCAAGAACTTTGTCAATGAGGTATGGAGATCTTCCATTTTAACAAATTGTTTTAACATGTAACCTGTGAGCAGACGTTGATTCCTTTCTGATTACTGTGTGTTCTCACTCTTGCATTGAATGAACATGAAAAGTAAAAAAGAAGAAGGAGAAGAAGAAGAAAAATGACAGAATCTGTTAACAGTGTGTATAAACTAGGTATACAATTCTCACAGAATACTCCTATGTTGGTATGTTAACACATGCACCATAGACACCTGCTTGCCTACCTATTTATTTGCACCTACCTATCTACCCACCTGTCAACACACTGCCTAACTGCTTCCTTTCCTAATAAAAGGTACTAAATACAACACTTTTCAGCCCAGCACTGCCTAACTGCATATGGGTAGTTTATATCAAGTGTTTACATGTTTCCACATTGAAGGGTCCAAAAGGAACAGTGATACACAATACAACATTCTTGAGTCTCATAACCTCTCTTGCTCAAGTGTACCTCACGAACATAGGATGGACTCTCTTCTCCTCAGAAAACCATTGGAAGGTTAAGGTTTCAGTCCCCAGCAGGAAACTGGATGGTACAGCAAATGAGGTTAAGGCAAAATCTGGTTTCATCTGCCAGCTAAAGAGTTGAGTGCATGGTACGGCACTGTGAGCTGTGCATTTCCTGAAAAATGCTTATTGTCTGTGCTTCAAGGTGTGGGTTGTAACTGCATATTCCAAAAATGGCAAGAGAGCTGCTTGCCACAGAATAGGCAGTGTGCCTTTTACAGTAATGCATGTGCACCTGCTGGTTTGTCATGACTGCTGCTTCCATCTGATTACTGATTTAAGAATCAACATAACACACGAGGCATACCCATGGATGCTCCGTCTCCCGCAGCAGATGTCTCAAGGTGTATGTAGATGCTAACTGTTCCAGCAGCACACTGATTATGCACAAGTCATTGTCTTCCTCTCATGTGTCCCTGCTTGCCGGATCCACTCCTAATTGCCCGTTCACACAATCTTATACATGTTGTTTCATCTAATCCCATGTCTTCTTTTAATATTCTGCTTCCATCAACTATAAATAGCAGTACTAGTTATAGACCGTAGGTGACACCTTTCTGCCTTATGCATTTGATATGTGTGGGAGCTGATAAATTTTGTCGGACTGCTGTCGGTTTGACTTTTTACTTGGGACAGTAATGGGTATTTTGTATGGTTTTCACTGGCACAAGAACAGAGCAATTATAGGACGACTCATTAGCAGTGAAGTTCACACCTGACTGATAACCTGATAGGTTGACACCAGTGAGTTCTTAACATTGTCTGTCCTGTGTCTTTATAATGCATTCATATAAGCTTCTACTCATCTGTCAGGTCTTGTTTATCAAACTAGGATTTGCTACCTAACACTAACTCACTGCAGTCTTTGTGACATATCTGGATTGAGATTGAAATCTTCAACTCTACCGTATATTTAATGGCAAATGTATACCACAAGTCATTGTACAAACTGGAATAAATGTTTTAAAAAAAATAGTTTGTGATGGAATTTACCTGTTTTCTCCTATACATTTACAATAGAATAGTGACCTTTAGATAATCAATAAAACTATCAGGTACCGTCTCCACATGTTGATTGAAATGGATCCCCAACTCTCTGCCTCATGCGCTAGTTGTGACAGACTGTTGTTTGTTTGTCTCATGATATTATCTTCCCGCTTGTTTTGCCTGCCTTCATTTCCCTTTAGTCTAGATTTTTTACAACTGCCGTTTCAATGTGGCTGAAATATTTCACTGCATCTGTTTTAATTGTTGTCATCATACTATTTTCCTTTACTGGTCTGTCTGTATTTGCTTATTTCCACTTCTTCCAGAGCCTTCATTTGACTTTCTAACTGTTTATTCAGTCTAGTTTCTGCACTTTATAATAGCATTGAATACTCATTACTTCTGAGCTTTTTTAATCAACTGTTAAAGACTGCCTTTTGTGTATGTCTTTTTAACCTACTTTTTATGTGTTTATTCTCAACTTACAGGAAGACATCGTTAAACTGCAGGTGTTGAACCTGTCAGTGAAACTCTGCATCACCAATCCCAAACAGACAAAACTGTTGTGCCAGTATGTGCTGAACCTGGCCAAATATGACCAGAACTATGACATACGTGATCGGTCCAGATTCCTCCGACAGTTTGTGCTCCCGTCTGACAAGCCATGTGCCCTGGCCAAGTATGCAAAGAAGGTCTTCTTGGCAACCAAACCTGCTCCAATCTTGGAGTCCAATTTTAGTTGTGAGTTTTACAGTCTTTAATAATGCATGATCCAGTTTTATCTGTCACTAGATTGTCTTATCTAGATGATGAGAAGGGAACTAGAGAGGGGAGTTGAAAAGATTTGGGAAGCATGGTGTGTGCTGCATACGATAGTAAAGGGCGGGCAGACTTTGCAGGAGTTGGTTGAGGGTCTATGCACCAAAAAGGTGATAAAACGTGAAATAAAAAGTACACATTTGTGAACTTAAATGTAAAAAGTTGACATAGAACACAAGATGGTAGCAGTTAGAAGTTTGTCGCTCTTTATTGACCTTAATTGTCTAAGCTTAATCTGTCTTTTTTTTATGAATATGGGTGTAATCATATTTCAACAGAAAGAAATGTATTAAAAGAAAAAAGAAAGGATAGAAAGAAATATATGAAAAATATATTAGTTGCTAGAAAAATATGACATGATATCAGTAAGTAGAAATATATGACAGGATATTGATAGTTAGTTCCATATTCTTTACAGGACATTGTAGAACCAGCCCCAGCATTTTTTGACTGTTCAGAATTTCACCAGACCATTTTACATTCAGTGGTTTGGCTTGCTTTTTGAACGGTTGGCTCTCAGTACCACTTTTAAAACCAATGCAAGGCAGTCTATTGCCAAATCACCTGCAGCTGAAATCGAACCCAGCACCTCAAATTGCAAAGCATGTTCATAATGCCTAAGCCACAGACCCCGAGTCTTGATGCATATGTTCACACCTAAATACAACTTGCATAATTGTTTACAGTGGCACATAATAACAGTAGCACTCATTTAGGAGTGTGTGCTTACATGTAAATTGTTTTTTTTTTTCTTTTCTAAAATTACATTGGCTTTCAGGTCAACCCAGAGTTGAGTGGCTACCAGGTGTAGTCCTGGGAAGTAGAGGCAGCTGATGTGATACTGACCGCATCAGCTACTGAATGCTGATTGGTCTGTAAGATTTAAGTCTAGCCTAATGTGCCCAATATGCCTGAATGCATGGAAAAGGGTCCTTTACTTTCACATTTTATGTTTCTTTTTTCAGCTCGTGACTCTTACCAGCTTGGCTCCCTGTCTCATCTGCTGAACATGAAAGCTACAGGCTATCAGGATTTGCCAGAATGGCCATCTGTAGCTCCTGATCCCAGCGTGAGGAATGTTGAGCTTCCACCTGTCTGGAAGGAGAATCGGGAACCTATCAAAGGCAAGAAGCAGAAACAGCCAGCCGCTGACCTCAAGTCCTTTTATTCATCTTCCAGTGAAGAAGGTAAGTGATATTCAGCTTCCTCAACCCCTTATCCCTTTGTTGGAGCATAAACTTTCAACCAAACTACATCAGTCCACCTTATATTTTGCCGTCTGCTGCCCCAAGATACCCCTACTATTATGCATCTCTTCTTCATGTGTTTTATGTTTCCTTTGTCATATTTGCTCTGTGGATCCTGTGAAAGGATATTTTAGTGATACTGTTGTCAAGATTTTCTTGTTTGCTAATGTCTTTTCCTCAATCATTCTTTTCCTGTTAATTTATGGAATCTCTCTATGCTCAGCATTAATGATTATGCCATACTGTTTTATTCCATTGTTCCATGCAGGCACCATTAATATATGGTTGTAGCTTATCAGCAGTTGTTTTAGTCTATTTGTGTTACTGATAACAGCATTTGTGGCTTGGGCATAGCAAATATGCTTTGTACTTCCAAAGTAACTGTTTGATTCCAGCTGCGAGGAATTAGGCAGCAAACTGCTGTGCATTGATTTTGACAGTGGTATGGATCACTAACCTTTCAGAAAACAGTGGCAAACTGCTGAACATAAAACTGCCTTGTAAAATCACAAGCAGCCAGCAAGAGCTGGGGTTGGTTCTGCAATGTCAAGTAAAGGATACACAACTGTGTTACTGATGCATACAGCAGTACTCATTTGGCAGTTCTGTTAGACATTGACATGGCTAGGCTAAGTTGGACTAGAAACAAGCATTACTGAGCTAAGACAGCCAAGAGGCTTGAGAATCAGCTGTACACACATATCGTAACTGCAATGTAACTGACTCACAGAGCATGTTGAGAAAGGTGGAGACAGGCATTCTGAGTGAATAGTGGCAAGCATCACTTCAGAGGCCGCGGGTAGTTAGCGTCCTCTGGATATTTTCTCCAGGTCATGCCAGTATGTTGGAAAATAAGCAGGCAGATAGACTGGCTGGTTCTACACTACTTGGTGTTGAATTGACATTTGACAAGCTAATGTTGTGAGGGCACTTTGGGAGCAAGTGAACAATGCGGAGGCACAAATAGATCATCCGGTCTGAGGAGAATGGTGCTGGGAGGAGTTACCAGGGGATCTGGCCGACGCTAAACACTCAGGAGAAAGGGAAGATGGATATTCAATCAGTTAGTGGTGCCATCAGAATTGAAACTCTTCTCTTGCTGCTGAAGATGAGGACAGAGCAGTTATTTGAGTGTCCCGAGTGCTGTGATGTTGATTCTTAATTCAACATTCAACATTTGACAGTCGAGATTATAGACTGAGCTAAGACAGCAGAAATTATAGACTGAGCTAAGACAGAATTTATAGACTGAGCTAGGGTAGTAGAAATCATAGACTGAATTATGGCAGTAGAAAGTATAATTCTAGACTGAGCTAAGACAGTAGAAATTATAGACTGAGCTAAGACAACAGAAATTATAGACTGAGCTAAGACAGTAAAAATCATAGACTGAGCTAAGACAGTAGAAATTATAGACTGAGCTAAGACAGTAAAAATTATAGACTGAGCTAATACAGTAGAAATTATAAACAGCTAAGACAGTAAAAATTATGGACTGAGCTAAGACAGTACAGATTATAGACTGAGCTTAGACAGCAGCAATTATAGACTGAGCTAAGACAGAATTATAGACTGAGCTAAGGCAGAAGAAAATATAGATTGACTAAGACAGTAAAAATTATAGATGGAGCTAAGACTAGAAATTATAGACTGAGCTAAGATGGTAGAAATTATAGATTGAGCTACGACAGTAGAAACTGTAGACTGAGCAAAGACTAGAAATAATAGACTGTGATAAGCTAGATTAGAAACAATCTTAAGTGGGCTGAGACTGTTTGAATAAAGACTAAATTAGACTGGAGTGTAGGAAAACCTTACTGAACTAAAACTAGAAATTAAGTAACCCAGCCTATCTAGACTAGCGAAAGAAACCTTTTCAAACTCAGATTATAGAAATTAATATATCCTGGGTAAACTGGACTGTTGAAGTAAACCATATTGACCTTATTCACTCTATAAATTAATATGACTGCGCTATATTAGACAAGAAAATAATCAGTTTGAATTATTGAAATAAACCTGGTTGAGTTTAAAAAGCAATATCTATGATAATTACATGTAGCTCGCACTCCACATTTTACATGCCTCAGTTTAGGATGTTGTTTAAAATAATGTTTTAATTATTTAGAGGAAAGCAGTGAAGAAGAGAGCGATGAAGAGTCAGAGAAAGATGGAGCCAGCGAGGAAGAGTCTGAAGAGGAGGGGACAGAAGATTCCTCCAAGGAAGCAAGTGATGAGGAATCATCTGAAGATGATACCGAAGAATCATCATCTTCATCTTCTTCTTCTTCATCAGAGGACTCTTCTGAAGAAGAAAGTGACAAGGAAATAAAAAAGACTGTTAAAAAATCTGTGGTGAGTTTAATATAGAATTCATTATCATCATTTTAAAAACTGGTAAATTAAAATTTTTTCAATCAGTCATCAGCAAATACTATTTCTGCTGTAAATATGAGTTGCAATAAGTCTCCCTTGTCTTGAGCTGTTATGAGGCTCTTTTGCAGACTTCATAACATTTGGTGCTATTGATCCACAGGTAATATTGTCTTCCTCTAGCATGATTCTTCTGTTATTTTTTGCCCCCACTTTGCATTGTTAACTATAACTATATTATTGAAGTTCCTAAATTCTTTACCTTGATCTTGCAATCTCTGCATTTGGGCTACACGTTTACATAGAAAATATGACACAGAGAAAAACACTTTGCTGTATCTAAGGATTCTTTTACTGCAGTAACATAGATCAGGCTATCAGTTGGGGTTTCAACATCATGGCAGCCCAATCGTCCCATAATTATTTCTTTCCTATGCCAGTGACAACCACACAAAATGCCTATTGCTGCCCTATGTGAAAAGTCAGACAGCAGTCCCTGCAAAACTAAACAGCCTGCACACGCATCAAATGCATAAGTCAGCTGCTAAAGTCTGTCACTGGAATTGTTATCAGTTGATGGAAGGGGTAGTCACAACAAACCAGCAGTATTCACTGCATAAGACATACCGCTAATTCTATAGCAACTAGTCAGTCACCACTTTCTAAAACTGCAGTTTACAACATACATCTAGGGGAGCAGACAATAAGTACAACATACATCTAGGGGAGCAGACAATAAGTACAACATACACCTAGGGGAGCAGACAATAAGTACAACATACATCTAGGGGAGCAGACAATAAGCATTTTAAGTTCACAGCTGTCAGTGCCATACCATGGCATACTGAGGTCAGTCGCAGACAGTTGGAACCAGATTTCTCCTTTACCTCATTTGTTGTCCATCCAGTTTCCTTCTGGGGATTGAAACCCTAATCATCCACCAGATTGCTGGGGAGAAGAGTCCTTCATGTGAAGGTGATGTAGGCTTGAGCAAGAGAGGCTAAGAAACCATAAAAGTCTGCTCCATTAGGACCCTTCCAGCATAGATACCCCCACATGCCCAACAGTGCGTACTGAAAGATTATGTGTGGACTGTTGTCCTCAGAGAACTGTTGTTATTGAAGGATTCTAATGTTGGACAGTGAGTCATGAAATGGTAAGAAACTGCTGAAACTGTAGATAATGGACATATTGTTTTTGAAGAATGTTGAGAATATTGTTGTAGAGAAGAAAACAAACATTGAGTTAATGGCTCCTGTATGTGTTTGAGATCTCCTGTTAGAATTATTAGAGAAAGACACACACACTTAATTGGAAAGGGGGGGGGGGGTGCAGATGAGATTATAGAAATTAGAGGTAGTTGGGCAATTATGTAGTGTGCACTCTGATTTTTGCAACATAACTGCAGGTGGCAGTCTCCCAGGATCCATTCAATGAAGGTTTTCTTTGAGTAAACAGTGTTCTTTTTTTAACACAAAAGATCTCGATCTACTTATTCAGTTTATGTCTGTTATGCTGTGGTCTTCTATTAGTTAAAGTGCCTACATTTTGAACTGATCAGAACTTTTATTTCATTATGAATTGAACTGGTGAATATTCTAACATTCCTACTTTAATTTGTTATTAAGATGAATGTCTTTATCATCATCAGTCATCAGGTCCTTCACAGAATGTCACTCTGTTGACGGCACACCTGAAAGTCTCTCTTTCTCCTGCCAATTCTCCAGCCCTGTGTCCTCTCATATCCTGCACATCTTTAGTGTCTTGTATCCACTTTGTAGAGGTTGGCCTCTGCATCGTTGTCCGGAAACTGCACCTTCCATCACTGTTCTCTTCAGATCATTGTAACATTTCCTCAGCTTTCTGAAGTTTTTGTTTGTTTGGAGAAGATGCTGTTTATGCGCCATTTCTACTCATTGTTCAAATCATTTAGGGTAAATATAGTGTAAGATGAATGTACCCTTTGTTAATTGGAAACAAATGCCAAATAACAACACACATGACTAACAAAAAACTGGCAAATAACATTTACATTGACTAACATCCTTTGTCTTTTGCTGTGTTCCATGGAAATAATTAGCCTGCCAAGGAAAGCAGTGTGAAGGAAAAAGTTAAGCCCTCAAGTGGTGGAGACCTTTTGTTGGATCTTGATGATTGTAAGTACATGATGTGTTGTTGATGTATGCATACATAGGATGAGTGTCACCTTTGCTGTTGCAACAAACAGCTTCACAACAGAGACCATGGCTGAAACAAGGGTATTGGCCTGGTTGGGTACGCAGTAGTTCACACATGCATATATACTGAGTGATTTCATCTGACAAAAATAGATTATCTTATTAGATACACTGTGGATTGCTTATGTAACCTATATCTGTGCAGTGAGTATTGGGAAAGATATCTTAGCACCTAGGAATCTGTCAGAGCCTCAGATCTGATGATGGTCCTTCTTCTTCTTCTTCTTCACTTCCTCTTTTACCGCTGTGGGTGTCGAGGGAGATATAAGGTTCTGTTTCTAGCTCTTCTGGCTGCCTCGACCATAGGCACATCGTGCTGTGAGTTTCTCTGATGTTATCCTTCCATCTTGTTCTTGGTCTACCACGTGCTCTACGTCCTTCTCCTCTTTCCATGTATGCTTTGTATGGTATGGTGTCACAAGGCATTCTCTCTAAGTGGGCAAACCATTTCACTTGCTGTCTTTGTATGTAATCCAGAATTGGTTCTGTGCCGACTTGTTTTCTTATGATCTCATTCCTGATCTTATCTCTTAAGGTCACTCCTACAGCCCTTCTCAGACATCTCATTTCCGTGGTTACTAATTTTCTTTTATGGTTTGTTGTGAGTGACCATGTCTGGCACTGGTAGCACAGAGTTGGAATAAATATGCTTTGAATAAGATGTCTCTTTGTGCTGATTGCTGATGATGGTCCTTACTTATTACTAATCACACACACAGTGAAAAAATCTGCAACAAAGGATGTCAGGGTGACATTCCTTCAGTTAATTGCAGTTCCACCTTCATGGCAAGCAGTTCACCACCTAGTAGCTTGGTTACAGTGCCAGTGAGAAGCACAAGATGACCCATTGCTGCAGTTTCTGCAAAGCCAATAGCATACACACACACATCAAGTGCATAAGGCAGTCTTGTCAAGTGCCATACAAACAATCTGCTTCTAGAATTGTAGTTCTTCATTGATGACACCAGAAGCTACAGAGATCAAGTACAGGCCGATTGCCATTTTCGGAATCTGCAATTCACAACACAAAAGAAGAAAAGCATTCCAAATGAAATCTGCAGCCCACTGTCATGCCATGTATGCAGATCAGTAGTTAGAGACCGAACTGTTTACTCTGTCGATTTGTGGTGGAGTATTTCATCAGTACACGATAACAGAGCACAGCCCTCAATACAAAACAAATTCAAAAATGATAAAATATCTGCGCGATAAAGTGTGTAACCCTATGAAATAAAAGTAAGCAAATAAAATTTTCACATTAAATTTCATACAGTTAAATTCATTCTGCTGATTATTTTTATTTATACATGGTCAACACAATGGAAGTTGTTTTCTTATTTACCCATTTGACCAAGGTAATCAGATATCTATATCTTTGACCAAACAATGCAGGTATTCACCTCATTGTCACCCTTTGTTCTTATCCTTTGTTGTTTGTAATTTAAATTTTGGAAATGGAAGATATATTAAGGAGCAGCAGCTGACTGAGCGGTTACAACGTCTGGCTCTCATGCAGGAGACCTGGGTTAAATCCCTTGTAGGGTGATTGAGTTTTTCTGTCGTGGGCAGAATTAAACATCCTAACCTGCACAGTCCGTGGTGACAGCCCTAGCCAGGCGGCCCTAAGTCCTCAGGCTCCAGACCCCCCTGTCTACACCGCTCTAAAAAAAGTTGGAAAACAGACAGTGGTGACAGTGACATATATAATAAAGAAGTTAGATGTAGAATAGTCTATGCAAAAGCAGCATTTTAAAGAAGGAAGAACATTTTTTGTAGTTTATCTATGTCACTTGGCATTAAAAAGAGAGCTCTTAAGAGCTATGTGTAGCCAATTCTGATGTATGGAAGTGCATGAACAGTTAGCTGGATAGTGAGAAGTTCTGTGCAGACTTCAGAGATCCAATATTTTATGATAATCTTAAGAACATTTTACACAGAAAAAGCAAAATGAAGGGTCTTGAACGAAATTAACCCACAAAGAAAACTATTTACCCCATCCGAATGGGACATTCGACATTCTTCGGGCATGTCATTAGAAGGATCAAACTGAGGTGTGTCATGTAAAGAGGAAAGTTGGAAGGGGAAAACAGGCAGGGGAAATGCAGGAAGGAAGATTTTAGATACCTTGGCATCAGGGCAGAAAACTTCTGTATATAAATATATATAAAAAAAGTGGTGTCTAAAACCCACCTCCAGTTATAGGTATTTAATTAACAGATTCCTGATTTTGTATAAGAAGGAGACAAATGAAGTTCTGTGGTCATGTAAAAGGTAAAGAAAAATTTTTTAAAATTAATGTTCTACACAAAAGTGATTTTTCTTTTTTCTCATACTCTGTTTCAGTGGGTCCTACAACTACAACAACCAGTGTGGCAGCTGCTTCAGGTGGCTTGCTGACTCCAATGGCTGCAGGAACTGCATTTGTTGCTCAGACTAACCAGGCACAGACTCGATCCTCAAATGTAGGTTAACATTAATGTTATAGAGATATACTCCTGTGACTTTCACTTACACGAGGTCAAGATATTGTCAGCACTGCCTTTCTTTCCCATACAGATTTATTTACTCCTGATTTATATTGTTATCACCAAGGGCCTTGCCAGTGGGTGCAAGCAATCTTGACTCTATGCAACTTGGTATCGTCAGCAGCATGTATCAGTTCATGTGTTTCCAACCTTCCATGCCATGACAAGAGGCTCTCATGAATCTCCTCATGTTTTCTTCCTGTATCTCTTTTCCCCACAACATGTTCTAGATTCTTTCTTCTTACAACAGGGCTAAAGAATTGTGGCTATCTCTTTCTAATGTTATGTTAAGCTGTCTTCAGGTCTTCTCTTTAAAAACATATTTTTGGCTCAGTTTAGCTGTTAAAGGCATTTCAAGCATTGGTCTGTAAAACCTCATATGATTTACAATGCTGGATCTGTTCCTGAGCCAGTTAGAATATAAAATCCTTTTCTATTGGAGGTTGAACTTGTCAGTTTTTATAATTTGTTAGTCTAGAAATTCCCCTACCCCATCCCCGACCTTGTCCAAATCTGTTTGCTACATGTCTTCATCTGTACCCTAGAAAATCATTTTTCAGCATCGAATTTTGATAAATGATGTGGTCAAACTGGTCTTCATGATGATTTGTCAAGAGTTTACTGGATAGGTAGTCTGAATATGTGTTCATTATTTAGCTAGGAATGCTTTAGCTGGTGGGAAATTCTGGTGTCTTAATTTCTGTAATTAAAGCCATTTTTCACAAGATGCCCCCCACCACACACACTAGTTTGTTCCAGCTCATTAAAAAAATTGCCCAGGAAAGAAAAAAGAGCTGGAAGCAATGTTGTTAGAAGCTTCTGTAGCAAGTTTGTAAAGAGTCATTTATGGGGCCATGATACAGACGGGAAGTGGAAGGGCTGCATTTTGTGCTTCTCATGGCTAGAGGGTTAAGCTGTTGACACTTTTCACATATTCATTTATTTTTGTGGTCTTCCTCTGCCTCTATTACCCAGAAGGCTAATTTCTCTATTCCATGTCTTTTGTTGATGTGGGCTGTACATTTTGTTTGTCTGTTTTCCTATGTTTTCATTGGGTGATCTGGTTAACACCAACTTGTGACAGTACTGCAGTGTTTGTTTTATTCTCTATCCACAATACTCTCAACATTCTGGGCAGAAACCACATAATCACTTTCTTATCTCTTTCTGCCTCTGAAGGCTTGACAGTACATTCCAAAGGAAGGATATGGCTACTGTGAAATATAATGATATCAAGAAAAGATATAAAACCGAACGAAAAGTATATAAGCAAGCTTCACAATATAACAAATACAAACAAAACGTGAACGTTGCGGCTATTGAGCCTTCATCAGCACATACAAATGAAACAATACTCACAGAAACACACAATCACTTGGCTGGTATCTCGAGGCAGCCGGGTCGGTTGTTTCTCAGCAGAATGACTACACGTGTCGGCTGAGGGAATAAATACCCTCTGTAGAGTACCAGGGGCCATAACTGGGGGGTTGGAGATGAGTACATTACTTTTAAAGATGCGATCACTGGGAAAGTTAGATTTCTTTGTTATGGTCCCACCAAATGTTCAAAGTTGTAAGAATATAATACCTGATGGTCAGGACTAAGTGGGAAGACATCAGTTACAAAAACATGCACATCTTGGGACTGAAACAGTTAAATTTGTTTGCAATTGTATGACTCGAGGGGTCAGATTGATTCTGCAGAAGTGCACACACAAGTGTTTAATAAGCCGATGTATATGATTTACTCATCTTAGTAATGTATTTCAGTAAATTTCTCTGATTCTTTTCTCAAAGATTCTACAAGGAATTACAGTTCCAACAAAAACATATGAGTTACTCAATCGCCTCAGTACTGGAGGTCTGACCGTCACATACAAGTACACCAGAACCATCTCCCTGTTTTCACCCAAAATGGTGTCTCTTGAGCTGACTTTTACCAATTCTGGAGAAGCACCATTTACTGCTATCAGGATTGGAGAGAAGGTACCTAGCATGTCTTGTGAAACAAAACTATATTGGGAACATATTTCTATAATTTTACAAATCATAGCTTGTGGACACCTTTCTGGACTTTTATAAAGCTTATTTTACCTCTCTTCTGTCCTTATTGGTTAGTACTGTCAGGTTAAAGTGTTTCTGTGAAATCCCTTTTTTCTGTTAGGAAAATCTACAACAGGCCATAACCTTGTTTGAACTGAACAAACTGAAATTGCCTCTAACTTAGAAAAATGTTTTTTAATATTACTAACAATTTTGCTGATGACAAATAGTCAAAAATATGTGATAATATGTATCGGTTCTTTCTTTCTTTCTTCTCCTTCTTCTCCTCCTCCTCCTCTTCTTCCTCTTCTTCTTCCTCCTTCTTCTTCTTCTTCTTCTTCCTCTTCTTCCTCCTCCTTCTTCTTCCTCCTTCTTCTTCCTTCTTTTTCCTTCTTTCTTCTTCTTCTTCTTCTCCTTCTCTTTTTCCTTCTTCTTTTTCTTCTTCTTTTTCTTCTTGTTTTGTTTGCCTGATATCAGAAACAGATTAGAAAACAAACACAGCTTATAACCATGAAAAATATTGCACAGTCACCTGAACAGAACGGGCCAGGTCTAAATTTGTCACTTACACACTGGGAACTGCAGACTCAGCAAACATTCCTATATATGACATATGAGCCAGACAGTCTGTCAGTATCTTCATGCTATACAGACTCCAGAGCAGGTCTTACAAGACTGCCCTTCTCTGGAGAAACTACGAATCAACTTGTGGCTGCCCAGTAGAACTGACAACTAAGCTCTTGGGAAACCTAAGAGACCTTGAGATGACATCATAGTTTATGGCCTACTGTAGATAAAGCACATGGCTAGAGATCATTGAAGAAGTTTGCCTGAAATAAGTTGTCTGTCTGTAATTTTATCTGTCATAAAAATTTCACTGTCTTTTTCTGTTTATTCATTGGTTGCATAGTTTAGTTTCCACTGTTCTTTTTGGCCAAAAGGTTTGCCTCATGGTATCATATTCAGGCAATCCTGAAGTATGTGTTCTGTTGTCTAGGACAATACTCCACATGTGCACATTGCCTATACACAAGTCTTAAAATTATGTATGCGTGTGGCTGCGTAATCATTTGTGCCCTGCTGAGGCGCAGAATAATGACTTGTTCTCATCTGTACATAATAAAGTTGTCGTCATGTGCCAAGAATTATGGTTATTCTGTTTAAAACAATTATGAGAATTTTGTATTCCAGCATTAAAATGGTTAGGTCGTGTGAAAAAATGGATCACAAAAGAGATTCAAATAAATCTGTGCTGGCTAAATTACAATTTCAGTATCATCTCTGTCTATTCCTGATGAGATATGCAGAAAATGTTTATTGAATTTATTTTGTACTTTATATAGACAAAAGACACTTGTCTTTATACCTATTTATATGATTGTTCTAAGTGAGCCAGATTAAAAACCCCACAGTTTGTGTGGTTCATTTCAGCTTATAAATAATATTTTCAAATTGGCTTGTTGATTATTAAAAATAGCACCTTTGCGCTATTATGTGTAAGTCAAATGACAGGACACTCAATTTGACGAAGGGCTGAAGTAAACATGCTGAAAATAGAGAAAAAAAAGAAGCAAGAAAAAAGCCAGAATTGCAAAGATGATTGAAACAAACTCAAGAAGAGATCTAATAAAAGAGACATTTGCTATGAAATGCAATCACTTATGAATAAAAGTTGGCCGCAATGGATAGTGACATAATTGTTTGTGGATTCAAAGTAATTTCTTGTAAACTAGACATCACATGCAAAGTCAGCAGAATTTCTGCCAAAAAATGTTTGCCATCAGACATTTAAAATGTTTGAAAGGCTACTGAAAACCTTTATTTTATGTATGAAAACATTAAGAGTAACTCATTTCATCCTTAGAAAATTCACTCTGGAATGGAGATACATGATTTTCCAGAAATAGGTACGTATATTTTTCATTACTTACATTATATTTAATTGATTACATTATATTTTATTGTTTACATTATGTTTCATTGTTTGTATTATATTTCATTGATTACATTAGGTTTGTAATAATCTGTAATTCTGAGGTGCTGAGTTGATCTCTGGTGCAGGCAATTTGGCAGCAGATTGCCTTGCATTGGTTTTGCAATGGTTTTGAGAGCTGACCATCCAGAAAACAGTGGCAAGCTACTAAAAGTAAAATTGCCTACTGAAATCACTAACAGCCAAACTGTGCTGAGGCTGGTTCTGCAACCTCCTGTAAAGGGTATACAATTACCTTGACTGTAGTAATATGACACTTTATGTTATCTCTGTTAAAATGGCTAGTTTTACAGGTCTCACTTCTTCAGGCAGTATACAGCAAGCTTCCATCTATGAATAGGACACTGCAGGCTCAACTACCCCAAACATAAAATAAAGATTGTACAGTTCCCACAGTGTGCCTGTCAAACAGGACCACTAACACATGAGCACATTCTGCAGACCTACCCACTCAACTCACAACTTCACAACTATGAAAAGACACCTGGCCTCAAGAGCAAAGTTTGTAGAGCAAGCTATAGGGAACCATGAAGGACCTACTGCTGACATGCTAGTTCATGAAGGCAACCCACTTGATGGTCTGATCTGAGCATACAAAACTGAACGCAAAGAAGAAAAAGATTTTGGATGGAAAAGAATAGACTCATACATCCCCTAATACCCACCCCCCTTTCCCTTACCTCTCTTCTTTCAACAACCATTTTTTTAAAAAGAAACTGACTAGGGGTTTACTGAAATTGAATGTGTTGACTGAAAGGCACAGATAATGCAGGCTAGCTGTCAACTACAACACAACCTGCCTTTTAAGGAAGAAGAAAAAGAAGATCAGACCAACGATTTTTATATAGTGGTTAAATATAGGTTTTTATAGGGGTTAATTACCTGAAGCTTTTCTTTAAGTGTGTGGCTTAGAGGTTAGTAAATGAGTTTAACAATTTCATGATACTCGGGTTTAGGGTTCACTTTCCGTGGTGGGTGGTGTATTTTCTAGTGGTGCTCAACAGTGGTGTGAGAGTTACACCGTGGAAGAGATTGGGTCCTCACCATGTAATACTCCCAAAGACGTAGTGGGTACGCTACACTGTAGCCGTCCTTCACTGTGGAAATGACACACAATATTTCTTTCTCTCTACAGCCTCTCTTGGTGTTGGAGCGTCCACTTCAGTGCTCATGGGGATAAACTTTAATGATACAACACAGCCTGCTAGTTTCCAGTTAGTCAGTGAACAGAAGACATTCTCCCTCGCCATTTCAGCACCAGTTGGAGAACTTCTGCAGCCTCACACGATGGGAGAGGCTGAATTTAAGTCTCAACTAGGTACAGACTTTGTTTTGTTTATGTTGTGTCCCTGTCCGTCTGATTGAGAACCAGTTGGAGGCTCCTCATCTAGTCTTATGTCATTTCTACAACCCTGACTACCGAGTTGAAGTAGACATTTCTGACACTGCAGTAACATCTTGTTCTGGAGACCACATCACCTATCTTTCAAAATCTCTCTCTCTCTCTCTCTCTCTCTCTCTTTTGTGTGTGTGTGTGTGTGTTCGCGCGCGCGCGTGCTTTCATACACACTCAGGTGAGCAAGTGCGCACCTGACTGTCTATGTCTAATTTCTGTTATTAGTTTACAGTTTTCATCTACGCTGGGAAGGGACTGCCTTATTAAATCGTTCCATGGTATTCTTTGTATTCTTCTCAGAAACCACATCTCCTAGATGTTTTTTCCATTTGTCTGATTATTGTCCATGTCTCTCTCTCTCTCTCTCTCTCTCTCTCTCTTTCTTTCTCTCTCTCTCTCTCTCTCTCTCTCTCACACACACACACGTGTGTGCACACATACGGGCACACACACACAACATCACTGGCTGTTGTGTGGTTTCTCTAAGCAAATTTACGACCAGTAGTTTGCCATTGCTTTCTGGACGATTGACCCCCTGATACCACTATTGAAACCAATGCAAGGCGCATGGCCGGCAGCTGAGATCGAACCCGGCACTCCGGCATTACGAAGCGTTCGCATCGACTTAGCCTAGGGACTACAGTTTCAGAAAAATGCGATCTTTTCGACAATTTCCGTTACCATGGAAACCGTTTGAAACTTGTTTCGGAAATGTCGGCTGGGGTTTCGGGATGGGTCCTAATCTCTCATGAAATTTTGGGATTGGTGTGATTTTCACCCACTCTAAATGGCTGAAAACAGCGGGAAGGAATCCGATTAACAGCGCATGTCTACGACAGCCGGACGTCCTCTGTTTTTCTGTTACATCAGTTTGATTGAAAATAGCGATAAGTTTTTCAGGTTGGCTTTAGGCTTTAACTGTTACTCGTCCTGGTAATGCTAGTTATAATTGAATTCTCCGTCCAATTTTACATTTGTGTATAACATTTCTTTCTGGACGGTGGCTAGGTAGATGTACAGTGACATTTTTCAGGCAATCGCTGGCTCAGCCAGTGGCTGTGTCTCATTGCCTGCCATCTTGTCCAATGACAGTCCAATGTAAACAAAGCCGATACAGAACTGCGCAGTAGGTTGCGCAGTAAAAAACTTCTTGTTTCTGGGTCACAAGTTTTAGCGGCTGTTTCTTACATCTCATCTCCACAAAAACCTACATATCTCAGCTCAGAAATGACATACAAGCCTAAATGAGGTACCATTGGAAAGAAATTGTTTACATCTATCTAACTGTGCTGGTTTTATTGGTGTAGAGGGCATTAAAAATTTTTTACTGAAGTAGCTAGACTTAGCCACAGAGCCGACATAAAATAATATAATATAATATAATATAATATAATATAATATAATATAATATAATATAATATAATATAATATAATATAATATAATATAATATAATATAATATAATATAATTTAATATAATACAATATAATACAATATAATACAAAATAATATAATATATAAAATCATCAAGCTGCTACTGCTAGTGTTGGAACTGTTTGCTTGTTGTATCGGTTCTTAACTCACATCAGCTCAACTCAAACAGAATATCCAATTCAGTTAGTTTTCTGTAATTCAGTTTAAAGCTTATTTCATGCGTAAGTTGCTTAGTATTGATTGCTGTTTGATTGCATTTGTATTGGAGATTGGGAATAGACAGACCAGGTTCAAGCCTGGAGTTAAAACATCAACAAATCAGTATAAAAATGAAATTGTAATGCACCAGCTAGGAGTAGATCTGAACTCAAAGGCCTGTTTAACCATTTGCTCTTCTTCTTCTTCTTTTGTCGTCTCACTGATACTGATATCCCAATGTCGTGGTTTTCTGTATTTGTCTTGTGCTTCTTTGTGGGCGGATTTTTTATCTCTTTTTTTGCAGGTTTCTGATAATCATTTATCCATCTGTTTTGTGGTCTGTCTCTTGCCTTCTTCGCAGTGTTTTTCAGTATAGTCCAAACATGTTCTTATTCAAACTTTCTCTCTTATGCTGGTATTCGTAACATTGCCTCTTCTTGTGTTGTTTTTTGCTGTTAAATTAGAAGCAACTCACAGGCTGTAGAAAGAATCTATGCTAAACAAGAAGTTAACATATAAACAGAAAAATGAAAGCAAGGATAACTAAAGAATAGTGCTTTGATCGGAGAAAGTGGGCACTAACAAACTGAAGTTAATTAAATATAATCACCTTCTTTTTCTTCTTTGTTCACCGGCTGTAAGCTCCGGTGGAAAGTCCTGGTTGTTCATCCATTTGGACTTTGACTTTGTGCCAGGTCCTGAGTTTTGTGTTTATATCTGTTTTACTGGCTTATTTGTTTGCAGTTCATTGTTCCTTGCCACTCGGCAGATGCAGTCGGACTTCAAAGGAAGTCTCCAATTAGTCGACTCCTACGACGTGCTTGTTGGGGAGGCATTGGGTCTATTCTTATTTTCCCTACAATGGGGCTCCCGAACCAACACGGGGAAATTAAGTATAATGAAAACTAACAAGAACACAAATACATATTAAATGAAATGAAAAATAAACAGTGTTTTCATTTATTTTTTAAAGCAGTAGAGGTACAGGAAAAAGAATAAAATATGAAAAGAAAGAAAAGAGCAAAGAAAGAAGGACAGAAAGAAGAACAGGAAAAGACTGTCCCAGCTGACATAATGTTCTGAAATTTTTAAATCAGATGATGAAGGGTATTATCATCTGTTGTTAGATTTGTTGTGAAAACTACCTTTTCTAAATGCTTAAACACTTCACTGTTATATTGTGGCATTCAAGAAATCTGGTCAAGCATTGACATGTTGCCTCAGATAGTTCATTTAATGGACTTGGACAAATATCACCCCGCCCCCCCCCCCCCCCCCCCCCCCCCCCACCCCCCCCCCCCCCCCCCCCCCCCCCCCCCCCCCCCCCCTTTTTTTTTCCTCCCATTATAGATGGACAGAAATATTATCACTTGACAACTCTGATATTAATTGTATAAAAGTAAAGGAAATTTTTTTTTTCCTGTTTTTTTGTGTGTTCTAATTTTTAAAAATGTTTTTGAAGTAAGGATAGTTGTACTGTTCTGTTAAAAGAAAAACAACTTTTATATGGGAGTGAGTTATATTGTCCTGTACTTTGTTTTGTTGTTGTGTTTAAAAAAAAAACTATATTAAAGTAATGCTAACTCTCTTGCTCTTTTGTTTTCCACAGCCAAACTGAGCGGCATGAATGAGAACAGGGAGTCGTGTGATATTCCTGAAAACAAACGAACACCAGAAGGCATCTACAGTTCTGTGTTGTCAGTCAGTAATGTCCTGCAAGTTCCTTCTTCTGATCCAGATGTCTTTACTTTTGCTGCTCACACTCTAGCTTCCGGAACAGTTGTCCTGATTTCTGTGAGACTTGCAGGCAAAGTGGCAAAGATTACAGTTAACTGTGAGAAAATGGTTATTGGGACCATGCTAATTAAAGACCTAAAACGGGCACTTTCTTCCCCCACCATATAATGTGCAATAAATGTTGTTAATGTTTTGTGAGTAAACTGTCTTGTGTTTTTTCACTATATACATGTTTGTTTTTGTATCTTATATCAGAAGATATCCCCCCGTATGCATTTAATAACTTGAAAAAAGTGTTGCCCGTGTCCTTAATTGTTGTGTTACTGCATGAGGTATTCCAAAAAGACTGAACTTGCTTCATGGTTACATTTCATTGTTTATATCTGACTTCCTTAGCAGCATTTCTACATTATGTGATGTGTAATTATGCATTGGGTCCTCTGCAGGAAGTCTGCTCTATGATGTGTATAAAGGGCTAGTTTATAGTGGCAGCAACAGCATTTGGGCACACTTGTTTTGCTGTGTTGTATTGGTACAGGAAGAGCAGCAGTGCAAAATGGATGTATTGTCTCCTCACATTTCCTGCCCATGTTGGTTATATGCCCCAGATTGTGGGGGGAAGAGGGACCCACTGCCCTTTAACAACAAGCATGTTTAAAAGGTGACTATTTAAGGGTTTTTTCACCCGGCTCCCTAGTGTAGTTGGCTAAACCTGACTTTGCGGGGACCAGGTGACGAACTCCTTGTGGTCCGGGTTCTCGCCCGGGGGCAGGCAGAAAAGCCACATTTCTCCTAGATATACGGTATTTATCATGGAATCAAGGCTGAAGGGTTGCGATATCCATAGTGCCGAGCCAAAGGGTTAACAACCTATGGTTTCTGGATTTAATATGAAAAGGGTTTGTTCCAAACAAAACAAAAACTAAATATGTTGGGTTAAAGGACACAGAAATCCCAGCTTACCCTTCTGCGGAGCTTGGTTTATCTGCGGCCCAAGGGAGCTACATTGCAAGACAAACTGTAGCGAACTGACAGCGACCTTAGACACACGGTCCTGTTTGTGACGCAGACAGTTTTCATGGTTTAGAATGCAGAAGAAGTCACAGTTTAGCAGTAAACCACAACATGGCAACAACTCTTTTAAGAACAAAGGAAGAAGCAGAAGAAGAAATTTAAAAATGTATGTATCATGTGATGAGAAAAAAGGCACTAACCATTGTGATGTCTGAGAAGATCGACGGTAGAGGAGGCAGACCAAGGGAGAAGATGCTTGATGGCCTGAAAAAAAAACAACAGTGGAATTGATTCAAAATACGAAGGACTGAGATCTATGAAGAGACATTAGTGCCTCTGCCGCTTGGCAGGGCACACGATGATATCATTTTCAGAACGCCGCCAGCTAACCTCATTAATTTTAGGCTGTTGTATGGTTATGAAATGTCTGTGACAAAATCCCAACCATAACTAGAAGAGACAGGATCAGACACGATATTAGGGAAGAAGTTCGGATGAAACCAGTACTAAACTACATTAAGAGACAACAGATCAAATGATTTGGATATGTGTTAAGGCTACTACCAGGTAGCGTACCACAGAGAGACCTATAACTTGGACATAATGGAAGCAGATCTAGAAGTCAGCCACACTTGCGATGGATAGATGGAATATCTGAAGTTGTAAATATCAGCATCTGCAAAGCTCTTTAAAACGTGATGCTGAAAGACAGAACAGGACTGGAGAAGAAGTATGGTTTTGCTAGGCAGTTTTATGCTTAGTAGCCATTACTTTTTGAAAGGTATGACAACTTGTTCATGCTTAGTTGGATCCCACTGTCGAAGTTTCCCATGGGATGAGGAAGCCGTTTCCATGCCAATACCCTTTAGGCGACTTAACATTAACTACTGTTACATTTTTATTTTTTCTTACAAAGGTACAAATTAATGGCACCCATTCATAGAGTTGTAAATTGTCATTGCTAAGCATCATTATTGATATCACAGGGCTCTTAATGCCTGCAGCAAGATTGTGGCTCCGTTACTTGTTTTGTATCCCATTCCTCCAGTTCATGTTTGTTTTGCTTGTGATTCTGTAGTATGAAGAATTATAATTTATTTTTTCCCAGTTGTTGTATAATTAATTCTGTAGATGTTCATGTCAATCTGTTTGTTGTAGTTGAAATTGTATTGCTCTTAACTTGTGATTCATTAATCAGATGGGTCATGGTGCATTCTGTAAGTTCGGTTTCTTAAAAATTAATAATCAGTAACTTTATTATTTATAAAATAATTACTGTAACAAATGAAGAAGGAAAGCTAAAGATAATTCATAGAAGCACTCTAGATGGTGCTAACAAGTGCGAGCACTGCTAAAGAAAAAAAATACAAATACATTAACAGTTTACATCAATGGAGAGTGAATGTTGCTACCCTAAGCACGTCTATGTATTTAAGTGATGTTATTGTTTCTAAGAACAATGTATGTTAATGACTATTTTCTTCGCATAGCCTTCCTTACCATATGTAGGTATTGCATTAAAAGTGTTCTTTGCGTTGCTTATGTACAACACCTCAGACAACCTTTCATGTTTAATCAGATCATTGTATACACACTAGATATATATCTGTAACTCGGTTGTTGGTAATGTATTCCTGTATACTGATGTTATCAGCCGCGGGTGTTTGATATATTGGTATAATATAATGGCATATATCTGCCTGTCTTCTTTATGTGCCTCTCATTGTCTTTCTGTATTGGCCTCTTTCTGTGTGTATGTCTCTCTGCCTTTCTTTCCACCTCTTGCTGTATATGTGAGTGTGTATATATGTGTGTGCATGTGCATGCCTGTACATATGCATGCATCTCTGTTGTTTATCTTGTCTTTAAAAAAAAAATCTTTTCACCACTCTTTGTCTTATGACATGTCTCTTTCTCGTATCTCTCTTTCTATGTATCTGTTTACCTGCCTGTTTGCCCACTCGCTGTTCCCCTATTTCTATTTCTCTCTCTCCCTCCATCCCTCCCTCATGTGTTCTCCATATATATATGTGAGTTTATGTGAGGTAGACTATAACAATGGATGCTGGACATTTCGCTTACCCAATCATACAGTAAACGTGAATTTTAATACTAACATGGCGTATTGGAGGCCATGATGCGCCCATACTTTCTTCATGAAATGGCACTGGAGGAGTGATGTAATAACTTATCATACCGGCTGCTTTACCTCCTGGAACATTCTCTTCTACACTTAACTTAGATTGGTGCTGACAAGCTGATGCAATAAATAGACAGTAACGACTAGTAATGGCTGTGGGCACATTACAGTTGTCACATCTGGCAGTACTTAAAGTTATTGTTTGTCCCGTAGTAGCACTGGACACTGTTTGTGAAAGTAAGTCATCCTGTCTTATTTCTTTACCTGCCCCTATCTCAAGAAGAAAGACACAGAGAGTGAGAGAGAGAGTGATAAAGGGAGAGCATGTGTGAGAGTGGTTCATAGGTTGATGCATTGTGTATGCAACAGAGTATGAGAAATGGTGGGGGGGGGGGGGGGAGTGAAGGATCATGGGAATTGATCTAAGACAGGCACAAATGGACATGTAAAAAAAGTAGGAACTACAAACTGACAAAAACAAAACCATTAAATGCAGCCATCCCGGCCACACCAGGAATATTCAACTCATTTACATATATTTTTAACGCTAGAAAAAAACCTTATAAATTCTAATGTATTTCTGATCATTATACTAATGTTAATTGTATAATGTTCCATACTGAAGTTTTATAAAATACATGCTTCATTTTGTTGGAAAAACATTAAAACTGGTTGTTAACAAATGATCAAATCTGGAACATTCCAGAATATATTCCCTGTCCCCTCTAAAGGGCATTGTTTGACTACTAGTTTAAGATATTGTTGGTGAGAAAAGAAGTGTCTTGCTTGTTTCTAAGAGATAAACTATACTTCTTTCTATGAGTGCTGATCAGTAGATGTCAGTTTGTTTATTATAAGATTTTTCTAGTTGGTATCCCCAATGTCAACAAGTCACAAACAAATATTAGTTTATTTGATATCTGGGTGATCTGCATGATTTCAGGATTGATATTGTCAGTTTCCAAATGAAGGAAATGTATACAAGCAAAGTACAACAACAGATTATTTCATATATTGTGATTATTTATAAACTATTCTGAAATTGTTCAGAAGTTATACTTTCATAGTAAGAGTGCAAATGTCTTAAATGTAACAGATTTTGCAGAACCTTTAAAAAAAAAAATAAAATCTTACAATTTGCTCAGGTTGAAAATGACATCTGCTCAACTCTTTTGGTACTACACGACTCCTCGTATGTTTTTTGAGACCATGCAAGTTTGGAACATGCATTTTACAGACATCCTGAAGGTGTGAAAAGGGTCCTTTATTTTGACTTATGTTACAGATATTTGTTATATTCTATAAAAAAAAAATGTTGCTGTGGCTTATCCTGTTGTTATTTCAGCTTCTTTAGATGCAGGCATTAACTGCTTTAAACCAGAACTTCAGTGACATAATTGTGAGCTGGCATTGAACGAATTAAAAAAAACAGTAAATTTACATTAAAAAATAATGTGACCTTGTGAACTAGTTTCCTACATCACTAATTACTTTGTTAAGTTTCAGTTATGTAAATTGTGATGATATAATAAAGTCATTTTGATCTTGTGGTCGTCTGTTTCACTTGGTTGTGTTCTGAACAGATTCAGCATGAATTCTTTGAATACTAAACGACATTAAACGTGTGACTTGTACATTGTCTTTAATATCAGCTGGGGCATATTGTGTTCTCCGACTTTTTTCATAGAGGCAAACAGGAGGAGCTTTTCAGCTGAAATGTCGTGGAAAGATTCTGGGCATACCACGGACCAAGAAAAAAAAAATAGGGTACTTAATTTATAACTTACCCCTAACGTCACGACAACATCACAGGAGACATTCCCAATAAATTATAGGGTGTTCAGGTTGTAGTTTCTCGTGATTTATCTACAGCCAAGGTTAGGGTTAGGATTAGAAGACACTAGATGAACACTCAAAAAAGCACCACACAACAGCACACTTGAACCCATTGAAATAATGGACTGCCAGGTCAGCTGTGGATTTCCCACGGGGATTTCATGTTTGGGGTACGTGA